TGTAAGGTGGACTATTGGAATGGACCTCGGAAGAAACCAAAGAAACAGATGAAGTTCGAACCGACCACTGAACCTGGTATCTTCCTAGGATATGTCATCCATCCAGGCTTCCATTGGAGAAAAGAATTTGCAGTAGCTTCTCTAAAGCAAATCAATGATGCAGATTTTGACCAATCCGTCACAGTATTGAGGGTATTAAAGGTTTCAGTACCCGAGAGGATTGAATTTCCCTGTCGCAAACGTGCCGATGCCATCCGAGACGGTAGCATGAAACCAAACCAGCTGTGTGATGAGCAGGATGCATTACCGCCACCGGAAGAGCAAGATGCTCAGCCTGTGCGGGAGCCAGGCCCAGTCAAGAGATCAATTACTGACATTGAAGCTGGTCAGCCTGTACAACAATCCAGTGCATCCGCAGTTTATCACCAGGGATGGTTGGAATTTTTCAAGCATGTCGATCACAAGGAAGCATGGTACGAGTACGCCAATTGCAAGGTGAATGTTCGGATCATCGACAAATAGGTCCGTCTCCCGATTTTGATGCAGCTGATTTTCCGTTTCGGACAACATGCATTAAAGATGATGAATCATGGCATGTCCACGAAGAAAACTTGAAGATTGATCCTCCGGTCGAAGACCTTGAAAAGGACATTGAGGTTCATGAAGTGATTGTCACAATATTCTCAAAAGAGCCGATCGACCTGAGGAACCGTGTGGACGAGCCTATCAGAGGAGCTGTACCTGATGCCGAAGTCGAGGTAATCAATCCGATCACAGGGGAACTCGAAAGAATCAAGACTAATGACCCCTCATTCTATGACGCAGGTGGATTTAAAGCAAGTAAATACAAGAATTCAAGCAAACCAAAGGACATCCCTCCATTTGTTTGGCAAGCAATGTCTCAAAAAGAAAGAAGAGCATCGATTGCAGATGAGCAACGGAAATTAGCCCTGGAAGAAAAGGAAAAGAAACGCGCCAGAAGAGTGAAAGCTGTACCCATGATCGGAACTCTCAAGGGATCACCAAATGAATTGGATGAAAGTTTATCCTACGAATTCATCCCAGCTATGCCTGTTTGCCAGATGAACCCTCAAAAGCATCGAGTTAAGTGTATTAGGCTTGGAATCCAATCTGGGGAGAAAGCCGTTAACACTTTGGTGGCTAGGCCAGTGGGGAAAAAGGAAATTAGAGCCAATCCCAAAGCCCAGCAAGCCTTAGATGTAGAATGGGATAAACTGGTAAAGAAGAAGGCCTGGCAATATGAAACAGTGGCCGAATGGAAGATCATTGCCGACAAGGCCAAGAAGACTGGGAAGAAGGTCCATGTAGGAAAGGTCTTTGAGATTTGCGTTGAAAAGGGAAGTGAATTACCCGAAGGAGATAAACTCCGAAAAATCAAAGGAAGAACAGTATTTCAAGGCAACAATGTAAAGGACGAAAGTGCCGATGTTGCCCTGTTCTCGGAATTAGGGTCTTCGCCTGCCACCATGGAAGCTGGCAAAGCAGTAGATGCCTACGGAGCTCAACCGGGATTCATAACACAACAAAATGACGGAGTACAAGCTTACACTCAAGCCTTATGGAAGGGCGTGGAGACATGGGTGGAATTGCCACCTGATCGATGGCCCAAAGAGTGGCATGGTAAGTTCATTAGACCAGTTGTATTGCTTCGCATCGCTCTTTACGGTCACCCCGACTCGGGGGGACTCTGGGAACAGTACTGTGAAGCCATGTTGGAACTAGTGGGCTTTATCATGCCAGACCCGGAAGGGTGGCCTTCGGTGTTTTTCCATCCAGAGCTCAAATTGTTGCTTGTCGTGTATGTTGACGATTTTAAGATGTCCGGTCCCAAAGAAAACATGTCAAAGGGATGGAGTTTGATTGCATCAAAGATTGACATGGACACTCCCGGGGAAGTCAATAGATATCTTGGATGCGACCATGTAGCTCAACACAACGTAAAGCTCAAGGTCGAGGATCACCCTTATGCTCATGTCTTTGACAAGTCACTGGCCGACCCGGCCGCGCCTGCCGCCGCCGCGTGCCACAGGACTCAGGATTTCTGGGAGCTCGACACCGTCAACGATGTCTACATGAGACACCATGTGCAGCCAAGGAAGAAACTATTTTTGCCCGATGAAGAAGTGGTTAAGTCATGCCAACTAGCCCCATTTAGATTCACGATTGCAATCCCATGTAACAACAATGGAAGTGAAGTTGAGCAATGGGATACTATTGGAATTGGATCCAACGTGAACAAAGGAGGTAGTCTTAATGATTCATGGGTTGGCACAACATACTTCTTCCCAACATCATGCAAAGATCCAAAGGCTGCCATGGCCACCATCAAGAGGGACAAGTCCGGAGCCAAAAAGAAAGCTAGAGCGGAAGGTTTCTCTTATATGGACCAACTGTATGAGAACCAGCCCTGCATGCAAAAGCCGGTGACTACATTCACATATGATATGGAGCCTTTCCTCAAATCATGTGTTGAACGTTACATTTCACTTGCGGGCAGGGATGCCAAGCCTTTGAAACAAGTTTCCACACCATTTCATGAGGAAAGAATTGCACGGCCCATTGCCGATGAGAAGGAAACCAAAGGCGTATTGGCTCCAATAGCCGCAAGGGTCCTTATGAAAGTGCTATTTGCAGCCAGGATGGCACGTTTCGATTTGCTGCGCGCCGTCCAAGGCCTAGCAGCTCGTGTGACAAAATGGAGTGCAGAATGCGATAAGGCACTGCACAGACTTATTTGTTACATTAATTCCACTCTGGATCACAAGCAAAGGGCTTTCATAGGGGACAAGGTTAGTGAATGTAGGCTTTGGCTGTTTGCTGATGCAGACCATGCAGGGGAGTACGACAATCGATCAACCAGTGGTTGTTTGTTAGTTCTTGTAGGCCCCAATACCTACTTCCCGCTCACAGCATTCAGTAAGAAACAAACTGCCGTTGCAATGTCAAGCACCGAAAGTGAAGTTGTCAGTGCAAACGTATCCCTCAGAGCTGTCGGTCTACCTTCCTCCGGTTTGTGGGCATACCTCCAGAACGCGGGGGGGAGAGAGCACCAAAAGACAGCATACCGGGAGGTTTGCCAAGGCATGACATTGAAACCCAAAAAGAATCCAATGGGGAATGCTGGCAATTTATGAGAAGTAGAAGATTGCTCATCCGAGTCCATACAAAACCAAGGTCACATTTGTTCACACCCGTTGACATGTCCAAGTCACCCATTAACCTTAAGCGTATCGGATGTGCTCGAACCACCGTGATGCTAAAGGACGGAATGGTTGACTTCATGCAGGACAATTGGAAGGTCAAAGTTGACTACCCGATCAACGGGGAGTGGACCGGCAAGACTTTCTTCAGGGTCTATGGTCCCTACGAGTCCGACTACAACATCGAATCGGTCGAAATCCGTGAAGCCATCACCGACTACGAGTTCGTAGGACGTGAGAAAGAGGGAGAATGTATGATCTCAATGTTCTCCCCACGGTCGATAAAAGGTGTTTTTGTAGAAGACAATCAGGCCACCATTAGAATCCTTGAGAACGGAAAATCACCCACTTTCCGGCATACAGACAAAACACAGCGAGTTAATCTATCTTGGCTGGAGGAACAGTTTAAAAGAAGGTGGTATAAGCTAGTCCATGGTCCAAGCATGCTCCAAGCTGCAGACATTCTCACGAAACCATTTGTTAATGCAGAGAAATGGAAACTAGCTGTCAAACTTCTTGCATTGACCCCCACCAAGAAGATTACCCCACCGAAAGCTTTGGCGTCGGCGTCGGAGGCCATCACACCTCCAATCATTGCCACACCAAGCACGGGGGGACCCGCTGCCAAGTCTGATACCAAGAGACTGATCGTTGAAGTTTGCTGTCATCCCGAGTCCAAACTCAGCCAAACCAACAGAAAGTGGTCCGAAGGTTGTGAAGTACTACAGTTCACTGAAGAATTTGATCTAAACGAAGTCGAAAACCAAATGAGGATTGCAGAGTACGTCAACTCTTTCAAAGGTGATGTGAAACCATTTATATGGATCAGCCTACCGTGCACGGGGGGTACACCATGGACGTATATCAACATGAAAAACCCCAGTGCACGTGAAAAGGTGTTGAAACATGTCAGAGAGTTTGACCGACTTTGGATTTCCTTGAAATCGTTTCTTCGGATATTGAACTGTGAAGTACACATTGCACTCGAGTGGCCACGAAAATGTCGATATTGGAAATTGACCAAAGTTGCAAAGCTGTTGAACTTTTATGGGATGATTGCATATCATTTTGATGGATGTGCTCTTGGAATGGTAAATCAAGACCATGACCCTTTGAAGAAACCTTGGACAGTGGCCACAAACCATGCTGGAGTCGGTAAAGCATTATCGAAGTTCCAATGCACATGCAACAGGCGTCATGCTCCAGGTAGAGGTATTGCACTCAAGAAAACGGAGGAATACACTTTCCGCATGACAGACGCCATACATAAAGCTCTTACCCGACAGCATCCCGCTCTCAAGCTAACTTGCTGTGCACTCATCGCGCCCTTTTGTTCTCCCGTCTTCGTCATGTTGACTCGTGCAATCCAGATGGCCAAGGCCTGTGCGGTTGCCGGGAGGCCCGCCGTCCTCGAGCGCATCACCCAATGGGAAAGTGTGGTCAACACCCTGAAGGCAGCCATTGCGGTTGCGACGTGGGACGACCCACAGGTGCTCTTGCGAGAGATGGAGGGATGCCGCCTACCCCTGGCGAATATCGTCGAGCCGATGCTGGGTGGTGGCAATGCTGAAGGGGCATACGACACGCTCGCGGAGGTCTACAAGAACACGCCCGATGGGTTTTTGGCCATGTGCCCCTACCCGCCGGGAGGCGAGGTCGACCTGCTGATCGTATCAGACTCATCTCTTGCTCTGGTACCCCCAAGCAGGGAAGGCTTCGTGTTTTTCCGGAGGCGATCTTTTGAAGCCCTGGGGAGACATCCGTGGCATTTACACAAAAATGTTGTGGGGCAAAGGTTTGAATCACATGGTGCAGTACATCCCCGAGGCCATCGACGACATCGAGTCCACCAATCGTGCACATGGTCGCCCGGTTTTGCCGGTGTTGGTCATCGTGGGGTGGGCCGGCAATGATGTGTTTGGCGAAGGGGGTTACAGAGGTGTCCATTGGATCCACAGGGCTGCCTACAACAAGTCTGCTGCCGACCGGGAGGTCACGGCCAACTGGTGTGAGCGGCAAAAGGCAAGAGTCGAGCGGTCCGTCAACGAACTGGGCCAGCTCAAACGTGATGAGCCTCGGATCCTGGACATCGTGGTCGTTGGGAACGCTGACGCGGAAATCTTTGCTCTCCCGTCAGCCTACAATGAGACCATGCGGGTCCACATCAGGGCACTTCGAGAGGACCATGGTATTCAAACTTTGGACACCACCTTGATGCTTGCCAGAACGGTGAGATATGACAAGGTGCATTTGGAAGACGACGACATCAACCGGAAGTATGTCACCAACTTCCTCCAAGCCGTCGCTGATTGCCACCTTGCCTACCTCAAGCTCATCAGCGTCGACGATCACTTGAGAACGCTCCCAAGAATTGACGATCTCCAGGAGCAGAAGAACTACCCGAACCTCACCATCCTCAAGGCCGCGTACCAGCTTGAAATCGATTCGAATGTATCCCCTCCAAAAGATCTTCCTCAGCGACCTGATCCTGAGAAGCTCATGTTGGATGCAGATATCGAGATTTTCAACTGGGTGCTTCAAGCTGAGGAGAGCGCCACAGCCTCTGCCGACCGGGAGGTCGAGTCCTGGTTGCGTGACATTCCTGAAGAGGACCAGGCATTGGAACCAATGCACCATGACAACGCTGATTCGGACGATGAGGCTGTCAAAGTTCAGGCCCTCACCATGGATGATCGAATTTTGGCGAGGCGAAAAGGCCTTTCAGAGGAGCACGACCAAGAATGGCAAGATGCCACCTATGCGGCTGAGGATGAAGACGAGGACTTCAAAGGGTGGGACCTCATTGAGGATGACAAACGCCCGCCGGGAGTCGTGGCCAATGACCCAGTACATGAAGAGGAAAAGGAGCTGGACCTTGACGACCTCGAGACGGTGGCTTCGGTGGAGATTGTCGATGAAGAGGAGTTCCACGACGCTGAGGAGGGGCAGGCAGAGCCGATTGATGATGATGACGATGACGACATGGCCGTGATCGACAAGGTCTCTTCTATGCAGGCCTCGAAGTCTGATGCACGGGGGGACCCGGAGCCCATGGATGTTGATGATCAGGGCAACAAGATGGTCCAGAGTACGGCATCGGCGAAGACCTGGAAGACGGAGATGGCCCAGAGCTCGTCATCGGCAAAGACGTGGAAAACTGACATGGCTCAGAGCACCTCATCTGCAAAGACATGGCGAACTGACACCACTGCAGCTGCGTCGGCGGGAGCCACGCCTTCTCACCCGACGTCCAAGCTCAAGCCCAAGAAGAAGGCCATGCCAAAGAGATTGAAGGTTGTGGATGAGGGACATGGGCCAAGTGCTGAACAGTTTGACACGTCGAAATTTGCCTCAGCACAGGATCTGGTTTGGATTGAGCCGGACAACATGGCAGGAGTTCCTGTGCGCAAGGTGGACTACGGGAGGCTTGGATCAATTTCCCATGCTATGTCCGACTAACTCCGCGGCCATCGATTGTTTCACAGGAGGCCATCACCTGAGATTCGGAGGACTGATTTGTCAATGGACTTCAAGGCATTGGTGAGGCATCTCCAAGGAGATTTTGCGCACCTTCGAGAAGAAGAAGTTTTGATGGTTGTGCGCAACTCTCCGATGCGTCGCTTCAGAGTCCAGGTGAACGGCTTGTCGTCCGGAAAGCTCAGGTGGACGCCAGTGAGGATCAGGGCCATTCAGGGTCATCGGGCCTTTCTCGTGGAGCAAGGGGGGATGTCAAGCATGATCAAAACGATGTTCACTTTTGATGAGAACTTCGACCAGACCAAGATCGACGACCCAACGGTCCACCCCGCATTCTCCGCGATGCCGGAAGGCTCGCCTGTGTGGCACAAGTTCCCCAGAGTGGTGTATCACACCTGTGACCAAGCCGCCTTCAATTCCATCATCAAGCACGGCCTGATCCCTGGCGGATTCCCGTACAAAACGGGCAGAGCCCACAACTTTTTCAACTCCACTCCGCCCTGGAAAGCGGAAATGAAAAAGTTGCAAGGTACGCGGGCCGGGAGGCCAATCGCCATCGCGTTCGACATGGAGCTCATGATGCAAATGGGCTACAAACTTTTCGCGACTGACGAGGCCATCCTGTCGCCAGACTGGATCTCGAACCAGCCGATGATCAACGCCTTTGATATGCGTTCGGGCGAATTTTTCTTTATCAACAGGGCTTATGTCAACCATCGGAAGACTTACCAGGAAGTCCTCAAGCAGGCCAAGGCCGAGTTTGATCCGACGGATGTTCTCATGAGCCGCATGGAAATGTTGATGGAAAATGCCCAGTTGAACTTTGAAGGCATCAAAGAGCGCATTGAGTTCGGCAAGCTCCTCCCCTTTTCCAGGCGTGAAGACATTGAAGTCGAGAAGAGTACTGCCACCCGGGAGGGTGAGCCGGCATCAGGTTCTCAGCTGGTGCCCGGCTACACCATTGGAAAAATGGCCGCCATGACAAGCACGGATGCCTGTGGCTTCCAACGTCGTGGACGGAATGGACCCGGTGGTGGAAATTGGAGTCGAGGGCAAGGTCGACACGGATTTGAGTTGCAATTCAAGGACATTTCCTACAACCAGATCCAAGACACGCCTCAGGTACGTTGTGGCCATCCGATCTGTGGATATCTGATGATGGATGGGCATTTGAAATGCCCGCGCTGTTTCCGGCAGATGGAACCCGTGACCGATGCCAACATCGCCACGGAAGTTGCCCGCCGGGAGGCGATGGCCCGTACCAGAGGAGTGCCCTTCTCCATGGACAAGGTGATCTCCAACCACCCGCGAAGAGGCAGAGTAGCCAGGCAGCCGGAGAAGGGATCATCATCTTCTTCGACAGCCATCCGGACCAGAAGCACCTATGGCAACTTGAGAGACATGGCCAAGAACTACGTCAGATCTTTCAAGAAAAGGGGCTTCAAAGACCTTGTTGACCGACTCGTCCGCGACCCGTTCTTTCAGTTCAATGCGGCGAATCAAAACTTGGTGCCGGAGGCCTTGCTCTTCATTGAGCGTTTGGCTGGCTGCGTGAGCCCGACCATTGAGCGCACCAAAGCTCAGGTTCTTGGTGAAAAGCTTGAGATGGCCACCAAGTTGATCTTTGTGCCATCGTCGGAGCGGGAGCCCGACCAACCCTTGGATCTTCACACCGAGGTGTTTGTGTCGCATCGGGGCGTCTTTCTCGACATTGGCCAATTCGCAGTCTACGTGGCGAAGTTCATCAAGCCAAGGCAAAGACCTCTACCCATTGTTTATGGATGGGGCAATCGTGACTTTGTGCCTGATGCTTCAGATGCCAAAGAGATCGCGAAAGAATTGGTGGAGTTCAGCAAGCTGCAATGGTCGAACTTTGCCTCCCAACAGACGCACAAGGAGTCTGAGACCACCGGCGACGACCGGGAGGTCAGTCTTCCTCATGCAAGTGCAGCCATCAGCCAACCTGAACATCAACGACCCCATCACGAGCAGTTTGAACCGAATCTTGGCAAGCCTGCTCGCGGCGGTCCTTACGGCCAGGGCGGTGGTGGTGGAAAAGGTCATCACAAAGGTGGAGGACAGACCAAAGGGAAGGGACAGCAGAAGGGGAAGGGCAAGCAAGGCAGAAGCCCACCGGGAGGTGTGGCCTACGGTGACTTTGAAGGAGGTTCCTACTGGGTTCAGGGCTACCGCTACACGTGGTACTGGAATCAACAGCGAGGCTGGTACTGGCGCTGGACCTGAACTATGGGATGACTCGCATTGACACTTAGGTCATATCTTTCCTTTTCAAATTTGCTTGCCGGGAGGCATGCCTGTCTATGACAAACTTGGCAGGCATTGCACCCATTGAACAAACCAAAGCTTTGACGCACATTATGCATTATTCCATTCAAGTGAACTTCTATGCACAAACTTCTGCACAGTTTGAACGAATTAAAATATCATCCATAACTTCTCAAGCCATACAATTGGATGTTCAAGGCAAGGACTCAAATCGATTTGCACTTTCATGGCTGTACAGTTTTTCCATGCCATGGTGTCCGATTGGGATGACAATAGAGGAATAGTATTGTTCCTTCATTCCATTTGAAGACGCCTGGCGGGAGCCAAGGCCGTGCCGTGTGCAACCTCGAGCCAACTCCGGCGTAAAAGAAGCATGCAAATTGCATTCGAGCATTCGTCCATCACCTTGACATCCGTTGCAAACGAGCCCATTTCGCATTCGGCATAGGATTAGTCATTGAACATTTTTTACATTGACTCAGGTCGATTTGCAGCGGCGGACTACAGGCACATTATTTACCGTAACTGCCAAGCAGTTGCGGTAAACGGGGGGTGTTTTTACGGGAGTACTATTTGGTATTCCCCATACCTCCCTGTAAAGTAGTGTCTGTTGTCCATTGTAATGTATCTGTTACTTCATGGCTCAAGCAAAACAGTGTGCGCGCTTACTGGCTGATTGTGGCTTGATTTCCTACAAATATATATATATATATAGGATGATATGGGTAGGTTGTTGTTTTTTAATGTTCTTTTAAGTGTCTTATGACCCTACTTACCAGTTCCGATCCGTGGGACGATGGGACGATCCACGGGGAGAATTTTGGAACCAAGAAGCAGTAGATGGAATGGGTACCATGGAGCTATATGTTTTACCTTTTATTTGTTTCATAGTTTCTTGTCATGGAGGCTCTCAGTTTTTGGAAATGCGGATCAGTTTTGGAGAGCGTTTCTCTTGGTGAATATCGTGGTGTTTGCGCTGAATATCACAGCTGGGGCGGCAGGTGGTTCCAGGGTGAAGATCTGCCATCGGCTTCCAAGACGGTTAGGCAGGGATCAACTTTCAGCAGGGCTTGGTGGAGGACGGATAAGCCAATTTAAACCTTACTGTTCCATCCCTTTGCCGCGAATTCGAGGCGGGGTATGATTCAGCCTAGCATGTGCACTTGAGTACTTTGATCTCTTGATTGCTGCAAATGGGGATGCAGTATATACTAACCAGCGGAGAAACTTCATTTTTTCAGGCAAAAAAAAAGATTGGCACTACATGTTTGTCAGTGGAACTCGCAGTTTTTCATTGTTCAAAAAAGTGAAATATCAATATAGGATATAATAGGATATATCTCAAACATATCTCAAAAATGCCAATTTGTTCATAGTTCTTGGTGTCCCAAACCTGCTAGGATCACAGTGCCCGTCTTTGGCGCCTTGCTGATCCCTGGCCTCGGCTTCTGGGCGGAAACCATGGGTTTTTACCATTGATCATGGGGGTTTCCGGTTAAGATTTTCCCAAGAAAACCAATCCATTGATCTAGGGCAAAATTAACATACCCTCTGGCTATTTAACATAGCCATGGTATAGATGGCCCATTTATAAATGGTTGATATCATGGTGATTTTCCATGGCTACGTGAAAAATAACCAGATGGTAACCTTAATGAATTCTAGAGAAATATAATTAGCTATCAGAATTTGAGCCAGAATAGGTTTGTCTGAAGGTTGATTGGGTGTAGCCCCAGATAAGATACCCTTAAACTAACATAACTAATGATGAGAACACACCATTTTAGTAGGTAAATCATCGAACTAATGGTCCATTTAACTATGTTTTTTAAGTGGAGGGTAACCGTTAACCATTGAAACAGGAAAATATGATGGAACATGATGATTAGCCAACATATGTAGGCGTACCCTATTTTAAAAACAAACGCATAATATGGAAATTCGTTGGGAACTCTGATTTTGACGGTTTAAGATTTCTTCTCACACCATATTTATATAACAACAGGTTGTGTACATTACACTTTCTTGTGGGAGATCATACATATAAGAAAAAATCCGTTGAAATGGAGGAGTTGACCCTGTCGCGTTGATTGGCTGAGGTTTAAATCGGTAATATAGCACGCAAGTCCCAACACAAAAGAGATTGAAATCTCTCTCAGAAGCACAAGGTGGTGCCCCATAGTTAGCTAAGTTGGTTTATAAGTCCAATAACTAGGGTTGATTAGGGGGTGATATCTATAGTATTCTATAGTTACTGGGGATTATAAACCGACTTATAACTGGGGGGGCACCACCTTGTAGACAGTGGATGGATCTGAACGATGCTTTCAAGATTTGTTTGATCTTCACCTCTTAGGTCGAGAACTTCCCCAACCCCTATGGCTTCCCCTGAGGTTATTACTACCACCAGCGGCAGATGCAGCGCATCGGCTATGGAAAGGCCGTGGAACTGCAGTGTCCAACGGTGAGGCCAGGGTTGTGGAGCCCTGGTTGGCAAAGAAGGAATCTTCTGCGAATACCCTATCGATTCCTATGGTAATTAAATGTAACTAATCATAAAAAAAATCTAGTGCATATAATTTTCTTATGGCATATTGTCATAACTTGTCCATTTACTATCGGTTTTTATGTGTTATATTGTGTTATCATTTAAGGGAATGTATGGTTTGCCTCTTTTTTCTGCTGGTCTGGGGTCGCCCCATTTGGTTGATGTTTAGTGTTTGACTGGATGAGCCTTGCAGTAATATGTGTTTTTGTGGCATGACCATGAATGTGAAATCTTCTCTAGTATTAACTAAACACCCCCATATGCCAGCCATGGTTTAGTAGGCGCTTCACTGATTTTTGGGGAAATATTTAAACCGGTAAAGTTTAATATCAGATATTGGCAGGGTGGGATTAGGATTCCAATGGTATGGGATGTACCCCGTTGGTATCATCCAAGGGGCTTCAAACGACGCCAGGATGCTTCTACTGGTGGTTCCCCGCAAGTTGTTGTGGGAGCCACGACGTCTCTCCACCACAAGCTGCTGCGCCCTGGTGTGAAAAGCATGTGGATATGTGTCAAACCTTGTCCAACTTGGGTACCTGATGATCAAGCACGGCATATGTTTGAGTTGTTTGAACCAGCGAGTGGGGCCTGCCTGTCGGGCCACAGATCCTGATTTGTCTTCAAGATGTGTTATCTCGAAAGAAACGACATTTAAACACCGGTGTGTCTTGCACATGAGCTCCTTAGACCTAGACATCGTTTGCTGCTTGACCATCATGGCACAAAATGTTATTTGGCTGAGTGATGTAGTTCGGCTCTGGCTGATCTCCGTGATCTATGGCAAGGTCTCTGGGTGGCTGCGCTGGCCACTGGTTTGCTTGTAGCGGCGAGTGTGGCACCCTGGGTACACTGAACCCACCACTGGGTGTTTGACAACCAATTTTCCAGTGGCACGTATTCCAGGGAGCTGTGCATGATAAAGTAAGTATGCTGTAACACTGTGGATGCGCGCGTTGAGATCCATGAGCATCCTCATTTGGCCAAGACTCACAGAGCCGTGGACCTCGAAACCGCCACTTCGACTGAGGGGCCGTGAAACAGCGAGCATGATCAGCGTCTCGGGCTGAGTCTAGAGATGTCTAGAGGCATTGGGCCCTTGCTGTGACTCTTCAGGGTGTTCTTTGTTTTGTGATCTCAGGGCAGCTGTGTTTCAAACACACCAGGATGATGAACATCCCAAACTGATTCAAATGGCCCAAATTCAACGCAGGGACCTTGAAAATCAGCATGAAACACGTGCAAAATGCTCTGCTGATTCACTTTTGTCACTCAACTCTACCTGCTGCTATGGCTTATATACCTTACCATTCATCTCAAACATATATTCATCAAAGGTCAGATTGGTACTAGACCAGAGTCTTCCGCCAGGCTGCCTTGAGATGCGACAGATGGAAAGAGAAAGGGCGTCTCTGCTGCATGTGCTGTGGCTTGCTGCCAGGGCCATGCAGTCAGCTGGGACGTAATTTGGACGATGTTTTCGGGCATGTGTGCTCTCTCTCTCTCTATTTATATATATACACATAAAACATATGTATGGCTGTGTGCAAATAAACAGTAGCATCCTCCTCATCATCAACATTGTGACCATGTTCCACATGATATTCCTTTTTCTCACCCTCTCCACTTGCTTGACGCCACACCCAGCTGTGCAGGACCCATCGCAGCTGATGACGAAGGAGGTGGGCGACATCCCGTTCCATGCATCATTACATTTACCATCTGGTTATTTAACATAGCCATGGAAAACGGCCCATTTATAGATGGTTTAGCTATTAAACATGGTGATTTTCCATGGTTATGTTAAATAACCAGATGGTACTACTTTCTTTTCATTCCCCTAATTTAATTAATCTTCGGTTTAATAGACCTAGATTCCCATGACGTGTCCTAAATTCTACTAAGCAGCGCAACTGGTCCTTAAACATGGGAAACTGGATCCTGTACATCCATGGTTTCTTGCAGGTGGATGCCTTAGAGCAATGGCTTCAGGTGAACGTGCCTTGGCGGCCTTCTTGCAGGTGACTCGGGGAATAAACATCCGCGCCATCAGTTGATAACCCCAATCCATATGCTCCATGGTGCTGGTATATTTACCTACAAAACTGGGTGATTTTGTTCGGGCAAATTTTGAGTAAATATTCAATACATGGAGCATATGGGCAAAAAGATGCCGAAACGTTGGAAGCTTGGAAAATATACGGAGGAAACATCATTGAGTTCGAACATGCTGGAAACACGTTTGGGCATCTTTTTGGGGGTTGTTGAAACATGTGATGAAATTTGGATATGCACAAAGCACGGCCAACAGATTTTATTTTGATTTATTTTGAGGATTTGGTGTGGTTTCAGAATGGGGATACGCAAAAAAAAATGCAATTCCAATGTGGAAACATGTTTAGCAGTCGTTTAGCAGTGCTATTTTTCAGACAAACCCAGCCCAGGTAATGATCGATAATATCTTGGAGAAATATGGCAATTAGAATCATTGATTTCATGGGTTGGGGTTCTTCTCCTCATTGAAATTATCTACATTTATGATGGATGTTTGATAGGGGTGCTAGTGTTACCCATATTATCTAGATCCCAATATGCTCTATACTGAGAGTCACTGGGTTGATGAAACACAAAATCTGGAAGAAACAAACTTTTTTTCATCTCCAGCCCATTTGATGCCAGCAAAGTGAATATCATTCTGCTACATCATTCTATATCTACTCTGGAGGTGCTGGATCAGGGCTGAGTTCAGAACCTGTCACTTGTTGTGTTTGGTTCTTTTCTTTTTCATGCTTGTGATGAAACAACCTGCTGAAGGTGAACGAAATCCACTGCCTGGCCTGTAGGTATACCCGTTTAATTTATAAATATTTTTAGGTTAACTTGTGGCCCCCAAGCATGAGCCTTGAAAGACAAACATGGAACTTGCACGGCTGTGGAACTCCAACGACGCCGCTGACCACCGTTCGCTGGCAACGCCTTAGATCACAACTGACCAAGGCTGGTGATTGGACGGGGCGCAAGTCCAGCGCTCAGTGGTCTGGTAGGGTCGGTAAATGGTTACTAACTATGGAAAGTCACCATTCTTAATGGGTAAATCAACTATAAATGGCCATCTTCAATAGCTATGTTAGTCATTACCGGAGGGTACCACAAGGGAAAGCAAGGTGTTATTTTTGAGACATCTATAAAACCCCGTTTCCCCGGGGAAAGCTGGGATGCGATGCGGTGAGGTCTACCACAGAATGCAAATACAGAAAGAAGCTCGATGAGTTCGGGAGCCCCAGGGCGGTCCCACTCGACCAACTCTTGGATTTCATGTTGAATTCCGGGTGCTCGTTTTGGTGGTTATTCCAGGTTCCCGTCGTGTTGAAGGGTTCATATATGTTTATATCACATTCAAGGGTGAATTATCACGGGTTGTTTTCTACTTGGGACCATGTTTTCACCTGTGGGGAGTTAAGCGCAGTTCCTTGTTTGTGAAAACATCTGACAGCGCTGAAATGAATGTTGTCCCTTTTCTAGCGGCATAGCGGTCTCCAAAAAGGTAGAAAAAAACGTATTTCCATGACGAGCACATTGGCTCGTACACCTATGTCCTAGGTAAACAGATAAACATGTTGATATTGTTGGTAACTTTACCTGTACACACTACATATTTACATAAACATTCTGATTTTTCTTGCTCCAACGTTTTCTATTTACCATTCTATCCATTTCGGGTGCATCATCACCATCTCAGGCTGGTGGTCCAGCAGCCAGATGGCACTGTGGGTCTCTCCATTCGCTTCCGCACAGCCGTACCTTGGACATCCAGCCCGACCTTCGGCTCTTTTCAATGGGAATTCCAGGATCCAAAAATGGAGGTACTGTACCATATAAGGCCATATTTTGTGGGTATATCCCCTTACATAGGCCTTACATAGGCCTTATATATGCTAGGTACCTCCAATTTAGGTTCCTGAAATGGCCATTGATCTTTTGGAAGCACTGCTTGTGATCATAATGTTCGCTACGTTGTTGACTATAATGTGGCTAAAAAAAATGCCATAAACCACCCATTTAAGGGAATGGTAACCATAACACGTATAAAAACGGTGAAATTCGGGATGGTTTATGACATTGTTTTACCAAAATTAGTTGACTGGTGAATTGGTTAAGTAGGGTTTATAGGGGATATAACGACTATGATATAACATGATATAACTATAGTTAGATGGGGCTATACCGCAACTTAGAACTCTGGGTCCCCTTCCTGAAGGAATCATCTGTGAAATATTGACCCTGCCATGAGTTTCCACTAGAAATTTGTTATTTGTCACGTAGCGAACTGGAAAATCGCCATTCAAAATAGTCATCATGTTTATCATCTATAAATAGGCCATTTTCCATAGCTATGTTAGATAACATTAGCTAACCAAAGGTAGATGCAAGGAATCATGTAGGCATTTTTTCAGTGCCCTCACGTTGTGACATTTGGGGGTCATCCCCAAATGACCCTCTGGTAAACATACAAAAAGCTATGGAAAATCACATTTGTTTGATGATTTTTAATGGGAAATCCACGATTTCAATGGGCCATTTTTAATAGCAAACTGTTAGTCATTACCAGAGGGTACAGTATCTTAGGGCAGTCATATTTGGTTGGACATGGATCATGGATGAAATGGTCGATTTCTTCATTCCTGGATGGTTTCTCTCCTGATTGTCCTCCTTACGGGTACCCTAATGAGGTTCACCACCCCAAGCCCCCTTTGTGGGTGATCATCTTTCCAATGAGAAGCATAAAACCGGCTATGAACCATTTCTGGGCAAACCTATATCATATTATTGGTCTATGTTCACCGGTATCCCCATGATTGGCTGAAGTAACCCCCTAAATTTCCCAGAACAAAAATTGACAGTTTCCAAGATATATTATGTTCGATCTCTGGTTCCTTATGCTTGATGATTCAATCCACCAAATCATTGGTTAGACCCAGTATTTGTACTGCCATATTAGCCCCAGTTGGTATCCACTTCAATTGTCCATTTTTGGAGTACCTGGCAGCTGCCGCCAGAGGCAGAGGAGATGGCCGTGCAGGTCCTGAAAAAGGTTTCGGATCTCGTTGGGGATGCCCAGAACTCATGAGTCGGGTGGCTACCTGGGGCTTCAGCATATGTTGGCATCTCAGGAATCGTCCGTGACGGCTAAAAATTCGCAGATAGGTTTTATCAGAAGCTAGGGGACATCCCATGAAGAAATCTAGATGCTGCGTGGTTTCACTTTGTTTCACTCATTAGTTGCCAATCCCATTTGAGATTATTATCCCAAGTGAAGTGACATTCATATTTTATGGGAATGGTTGAAATCATCAACCGGATCAGAATAGTCAAATCCCTGCCATTACAAAACCAAATCTCACGATCATATTATTCTATATATACACATGCATGTTTGTATGTGCAAAAATAAGTGTATATAGATTGCAGATGTATGTGCATTAATATATATATATATATATGCAATTATATGTACATATATATATATATATATGTATTTGTTAACATCTCATGATACATAAACACACAAATATATATATATATATATATCTGTGTGTGTAGCGGTGGGTCAGCAATGTATCAGCCAGGCGGAGGCTTTGGCCCAGCAGCTCCAGGACTTCACCTCCGACGCCGCGACCAGCGCGACCAGCGCGACCAGCGTGGCGCTGGCGCTGGGCCCGGGTTGGGGGAACTCGGAACCGCCTGGATCTACAGATCCCTTGGAAACTGGTTGGTGGTTTCATACATTTTTTATTTTCCATTTCATATATGGGATAATTAATCCTTCCCATTCACGAACTCATATTTTTCAAGATGGTTAAAACCACCAACCCGGATAAAATTGGAGTCTCTACTATGGGTAATCAGATGATAATAGTGGGATTCAAATGCATTCAAACTCTTTTTTTTTGATATGTTCATGGTGTGCAGCTTGGATCAAGGTTTCTTTGTTTCATGACCATATGACCAAGATAGTTGCATCCCGGGGATTCAACGAAGCCGACTTCAAAGATGACCCCAAGGTCAGAGGGTCGTCGCATTCTCCCCAAGAGACCATGGGCTTCAATGGGGTATCAAGTCGTGAAGTAACCCCAATAACACAGTAGTTACAGTATAGGATACAGCGGCAAATCAGCGACTCTATATCATGGGATGAAGAAATCCTGGACCTCTCGCCAGTAATGAGATATCATGCCCAAACATGGTCACCATCCTCATGGCTTTTTGGGTAGAAAAGAAATAGGGATTCGCCCAGGCGTTGATACAGTGTATGACTGAGTTTGCTATCGGATAGAGTTTGTTAGACCTAAAGTAAGTAGCGCGGCACACAAGGTCACGGTTAGGAGATGAAGGTGTCCTAAGTCATTGAATGGTACCCCCTAAACATCCCTAAACATCCAGAATTATAGTACTTGAGTTTCTAAACCTATGGTGACTTGAGGATCCACCCTTTCAAGAAACGTTGCAGGTCGAGAAGCAGGGAAGATCAGGTTCCAGGAGGCAGAACGATGACTGCTACCCTTTGGTAAACATACAAAAAACTATGGAAGATCACCGTGTTTAGTGGGTAAATCAAAGAACTACATGGTAATTTTCAATAGCGAACTGTTAGTCATTACCAGATGCTAAGTTTCGCTGGCTGTTACTCATGGCTTTTGTTTGGGTACACGCACTTAAGATGGTTTTATCCTGATGCTGAAATGCTGAACCATAGCCCCGAAACATATCAATTTTCAGTTATATATGACATGTTCATGCTATGATGTGTGTGTCTGACGATGGCAATACACCTGTGCGCCGCCAAAAAAAAACGTTCTGCAATTCAACACTATCAATGTACAGCTGTTGTAACGCATTGCAAATTGCTACGCTACATTCTGTTCTGCCATGTTTTTTTTTGACCTTGGATGGGTACTTTAAAACCTTTTTTTGGCTACACGTGCTCATCTCCTGGAGCGACCAGGACGAGATACCCATCAGCGGAATGCACATGGTCAAGTTGCGACAGCTCTACGAGGTGCTTCGCCGAAGATGGGGTGAACTCAGAGCACCCTGCAGGGGAATCAGCACCACATTTTGGGACAGCAAGAATGTTGGTTTTAACATGTTTTAACCGTGTGTGAATATGATTTTAACCAGCAAACATGGGGTGAAAACCAAGGATATTTTAGGATGTAGGACATTCCAGCGAACATGACGACCCTGCCAAGAGTTGGGGACATTCGCACGGAAGTCGGGATATTGTATCACTTGACAAGCAAGAAAGTTCGGTTTTCACCAGCAAGTTACCCTACAGGGGGTCTCCCTCCAACAAGTAGTATCATATATTATGTATATATATGATTATTTGCATAGACAATGATCTCTTTCCCAACGTTCCTCAGCTGCGTCAGCACCAGGTTCACAATGGCGGCCAGGTCTCTGAGGTGTGGGGGAAACAGGTTCGAGGTTGAGACAAAACATGTGCTGCTCGTGCAGCTCCCAACTTGTTGAATCACTACTCTATAACTATAGTCACTTTGATACAGTGGATGGTTGCGAAATCCTGCACCAGTTGATAGATGGTTGATCCATGTTTATCCCATTACCTATAGAGTTTCAACCATCCTTGATAGATAGGTGCAAGATTTCTTCCATCCATCTCCATCCACAGTACCACATTGATTAGTGGTGCTGGCTTGAGTTTTTGGAGGGATGTTGACCTATAAGGCTAGCTGACAGGGATTAGGCCACTGCCACGCTGATTTGGGATGGCTCAAGGGCTGCGTCTTTTCAGGCCCCAACTTCGAATATGCGTAAAATCCTGAGATTTCAACGTAATTCCACTCTTCATATATCTTATCTCCATGTATCTTCATTACATAGATGCTATACTGCTATATGTATTGGTTCCAACCTGCTGGTTATATATGTGAGCGGGCCCTGCAGGAGGCCTTTCGGCATCGCATGCTGGAGACCTCAGGGGAAAACCCGTGTGTTTTTTTCCATGGGAAACAGCGCAGAATGTGGCGATGGAACCGCAGGATCATTCCAATGATGCAGATGATGCAGCTGGGGTAATTGTGTCACTCCATCAAGGTGGACCATTTTGATCCATTTTGGCACTTGCTGAACTTCCGCTTTAACGATTGATATGGGAATGGGTCAAAACCATGTAGCCCTGTAGTTCACATCAAAATAGGTGGCAAACGGATGTTCATCCCACTAATAATGTATCTATAGGTATTGACCCATACCCATATTGACTTCAATGAGTAGGGGCTGAGCCGCCGCATTTTGATGTGATGTCGGACTGACACCTGCTGTAGACTTGGCTTCACCGTCCAATTTTCCACCTGGTTGACGTCGAACATATGGCAGATCAGTTCGTACAGCAGTGGCATACGTATTCGTTTTGGCCTCACCAAATCTGGAATCAAAATGAATCAAGTTCCTGAATCTCTGCAATACACCTGGTTTTTTTTTCCATATGCTTGGGAAGATGAAGCATCACAATTGTTGGTGGTGAAGCATGGTGAAGCGATGCCAAAAACCTCTGCGGAAGGTTATGGTTTGATGGTTAAATCAGTTAAGACTCCAGCCATCCCCATTTTTTGCTGTTTATTTCTCCAATGTTCCGGATGCTGCAGGTATTGCATGCTGCGACGCTACGTTTGATGCTTAGATTTCGGAGATTTCGCATGGTTTTTCCCAGACTGTGGCGGTACCCCAATTTGGCCAGGTTGGATGGGTTTAACCAATGGGTCAATGTTGAAGATATGGGAACACCAAATAAAACCAACTGGTGAGGTATGTAGTCTAATACTGTCGTACCTCTTGCCGTAAATGGGGGAACCTACTAACTAGCTGTAGAACTTTATAGAACTTAGTTTTTTTGCGGACACCGTATGATTGGCCCCCTTGTCCGGATAAACATTTCCTTGGTGCGGTTGGTTCTCTGATGTGGTTAGATCCTGGGGCCTTGAGGTGGGAATGACTCAAAACTATACTATAGAGCCCAACAAAAATGAATGGATAAAGAATGAGAAAGACCAAATATGACAAACTTTGTGCGCCCATTGGGGCCCACAATCTGCTGAGCCATTCCCATCTCAACTGCCCAAGTGGTGCCCAGCAATAGGGTGACCTGATTGTGTTGACCAACGTGAGAATGAGCACCTTGTAGAGTTCCAGGATTTATTGAGATATTCAAGATTGACTAGGTGGGGCTAAGATGGTTTAAGACTGTTTATATATAATCATTTCAAATTATGTTAAGACCATATCATAAGATCATCAAAGGGTCCTCAGCCTTCAAAGGTCTTAAGAGGTTCGAATTCATGTAATACCCGCAGAAAATTCATAGTCACATCTATTTGCCACTCCTGGGGGACAAGTTGGGCCATCCACTTTTATTTCAGTGAGGTGACCTTCATTGGTTTAGACCCCGCGCAGCAAGGCAGCCAAGGTGTGACTTGGTTTAGCTTCAGGAAAACGCTGCCTTACTTCCCTGGGTTTTGGTGGAAAAAATCAGGAAAACCTCAGGTTTTGGGTGGTAAAAGGTGGCAAAAAATACATGATACCCATGGGATTCTGTAGATTTTCAATTCAACCAATCCGTTGGTCACATGTTCAAGGACTTCTAAATGTCAGAGGTGCTGCCCCTGGGTCAGGTGGGAATATGCACGCCGCCGCGCCGGAGTCAGCGGGGGCACCCTTTGATCCCCCTTAGAGGATCGATGCTTGGGCCCAAATCCTGCAAAGAGCAACGGAATTTCATGGAAACGAAATGAAACAACCACTGGTTGGTGGTTTGGAACAAGAAATTTATTTTTCCATATATATTGGGAATAATCATCCCAACTGACTAATATTTTTCAGAGGGGTTGAAACCACCAACCAGACCACGGTGCCCTCTACATGTTTCCCAACAAGAGGATCCAATCATTTGATTGATAGTCTTATTTGCGGATGGATTGCGTGAGAAAAAAAGAAGCAGTCGCTACTGCGGGTCTTGATTTTCTTTCCTTTGGTCCTTTGAGCCGGCAAGTCATTTTGGAATCCCGGAAGCCCTGTGAACCCACATGCATGTCATGCACAACCTTTCCTACCAATGGGTATGTCCAATGAAAAAACCAAAGTGGTGATGGTTTATTATTGAGCTTACCTCATGATATCCCCATGATATAGATCATATATGGATGATATATATTGATACTGTGGATGGTTTCAAAATCCTGCACCACCTTGGATGTTTAAAACCCCTTTAAATAATTGGATAAACCATCTGCTGTATCATCTGGTGAAGGATTTTGCTGGCCCATCCACAGTATGTATTGGTCTAAAATTTCCAGTGGAGTCCCATGGACGTTCGCTGAACAATTTGCCATGCGCGCAGCGCGCGCTGCAGGTCTTTGCTTGGCTCCGGGACCACATGGGCGTGACCTGCGAGCTCTTCGCATCGCCTCTGTGGGGACTCCCAAAGGGCGATCTATTCATCCCAAACGCCCCATAAATGGTCCATAAGAGTCCCCATAGACCATGGGTTCAGGGGGGAGGGATTCAATATGTGAAATCCACTTTTAGAGTGGTATGTGCTGTAGAATCGCTTTTTTTGTTCCAAATGTGTTGCCAGTGTTTTTGTTTAAATAGCAACTTTGCACAGAAAGCCACCCGACTGGATCGTAAGACATGGTATTTTTAAGCTATCTAAGTTTTGGAAAAGTACGCAAGAAATCCCGCATCTTAAACGGCAAAAAACACATACATGAGATACTTCACTTTGATGCAATTTGAATCTAGCTCAGTGATAAGTTTCCTGGTTGATTAGTGGGTAGTAAGGCAGAAGCACTCAAGATCACAATGCATTCCAGTTTGGCCAACAAGCGTGACCTGTTTCAAATCGAGTTAATATTTATGTAGGATATCATCCAGATATTAGCATAGTACCTCCCAGGACTAGCCTATGAAGACTGATGACTAATAATTGAACGGGATGTACCATACTAGTCCAGCACTATTCCATTCCTATATTCAGAAACACTAGTTGAAAGAAGCCCTGTCTTGTTGGGCATTTTGTAGCAGCATGTAGCGCTCATGTCCTTGGGGCGATGCAACTCGGAACCTGTCTTGCGCAGAACTGCGAGAGATCCTGCAGAAAAGCGTTTTCTGCATTTTCTGGATCATTATTCCCAAAGGCATAGGCCTGATAGGCCTGTAAGTCGGGCACAGACACAACCGGATCGTGTCATTGTGACAGATGCCTCCGATGCCAGAATCGATCGTGGACTGCGCCATACGTCCCAGCCATCCTTGCCGTCGGCCTAGAAAAGGCCCAAATCTGGTGCACCTGTCAGTCCTATGACCGCACTCTTGAGGCGACCCAGCTCTGCATTGAGCAGGGACTCACCTGGTAAAATCACAGCTATCCGACAAAGGGTGCTATCCAAGATAGCCATCGGAATTCATGTTGCCCTTTTAAATGCCAAAATCAGTCAGAAACCTGGAGAAATCCAGCTGGAAGAGCCGATGAGAGAAGCAACAGTTGAACATGTCCAGCGAATCTATCGCCAATTCCTGAGATTCAAAGCGCTGGAGTCAGACAGGGCAGCTGAAGCTCAGTACTTACATCAAGTGAAGCTCGTCCAAGAAGCCTGGTGTGAGAACTCGGCCGCAGGCTGCGCAGGACGACTCTTTCAGTCGGAATCCGTGGGATTCAGAGAGTGAGAACCCACTGTCGCGTATGCGCTGGGCCACATTCATCCATTGGTTGGAACAAGAAGCCAGTTGTGGAATACAACAGACGTATCGACGGTCAGTGGCTGCTCTATTGAGAGGAGTCAAGCTTTGGAGGCAGATGTGTGCCAGTCCAGAGCAAGCTGAGGGGATCTCGCTTGGTTTGCTACTTTCATGGGCGTTCCCTTCTTCATTCTCTGCTAACATTGTTGAAATGCTAGCATGGCTCGCACTCAATGAACTTGAAAGCATCCGTTGGCCATCGCCAAGACTGATAGATGACGAAGAAAGAAAACAGTTGGAAAGGATTTTCCACAAGGTCTATGCAAAGGGCCGCGCAGGGCATTGCTGGTGGTGACTTTCCAGACCGACAAACCCAGATCATGACATTAGTCGACTCTCGCCTTGCTCGACATGTTTTTGGTGACAAGAAAATTGATTGGCCTACCTTCTTGGAGCATATGTGCGAGATGGGCTGCCAGGGCCATCCGAGTGTCACCCGTGTAAGGAATCCTGAAGGCGTTTGTTTGGCCCGCTGCCGACGAACTGCCTTGAACTTCCATGGTTGGCTGTCAGAGACACCATCGGAGATGGAAGTTGAGCGTCGAAAGGTAGTTGATGCTTTAGAGGCAGAAGTGGTTGCATGGCGATCAGGAATTGGGTACTGAGCGAGTCAGCATCATGCTGTCCTTTGTCCTTGTATTCACCTCTCACCGCTCTTTCGTGCTGCATTTGGTGGCGCCCCTTTTGCTTGTTTTAACGGCAAGGGGTTGCCCCTTGACTGGGCCAAAAGTGCTCAGTTAGGTTCTGGGTTTGGAGGATTTTCGTATTTTGACCTGGAGCCACCATATTGAAGCGCTTGAACCGCTTCAGAAACACTACTCATAAAATCCCCACTATCCTCAGCCCATTAGTCAGCAACATGATGACAATGATAAGTAATCAGTAACCCTAGTAATGTGGGTAAAACAATGTCATAAACCATCACCCAGTCATCACCGTTTTTATGGATGGTATGGGCACCATTCCCAGTCATGAGTGGTTTGTTTATTTGGGTAAATTATAACGACCTCACTGCGACCTCACTATAATCATGGTTAGTAAGGGGAATCATTCCCAAGATGGCCTTATTTCAGGTTATATAGTGAATTATTATAATTGAACCCAGAATTATTGTTTTACCCACATTATTTGGACTGTTCTCATGTATGACCCATATTGGATGGTATATCCCAGAGATATGGCGCCTGCGACATGAGGAACTGCTACTTTGCGCAGTATTACTCTGCCTTCCCAGACGCCACTTGGAGAACTGCGAAGCGATAGTTGGATGGTACTGCAAGTGCTGGGAAAACCGGCGATCGTGGTGAATTCTCCATCTATTTTCCCATCAAAAGTGCTGTGATGAGCATTCCTTTGCCTTTTTGATACGAAAAAAATGATTTGAGATTTGGAGTTTTGCTGTGGCTATGAGATATGGAGACCGTGAGAATGATTCTGCGATGTCGGGGCGATGGATCATCAATATTGGATCATTGCCCAAGGATTTTGTTAGGTTTGCTGAGTTGTGTGCTGCCTCTTTCGGAGGGACATAGACAGACTAGAATTATTTCAGATTAGCATAGATTAGCAACGTACAAGGTGTCAAACTATGATGACCAGTATTGATCCATTGTACATGATAATTGATACAAGTGTGCATCAAACCCAAACAAAATCCGATGATTGAGCCAGAATTGGGAAACAATGTCAATCCAGCCGGCAAACTTGAATGTGTTCCAAAATGGATCCCGAAAAATCATCAAAAATCTGCAACTGGTAATTTGGAAACCCATGGTTCATTTGGGTCCCAAATTCTTCACAAATCCCCAAAAGTGGCACCTGGACTCGCCATTTCCAGTGGCATCCAGACAGTTTCAGGTGGACGCCTTCTTTGGCTCAAGAGGCTGCGAAACTTTGGGGGTGAAGGGACTCAGGGACCGGAGATGTTGGTCCAATTTGATACCCAAATATGTTTTATCAATATTAATTTGTTTCTTATTGGGGAACTTATTTTTTTGTAACATGTTTTTATCTGGTGAATCAGAGCTGGATTTTTCGAAGCCGACTAGTCAGTAGGCATCCCAGGCATCCCGGATGGATTCTAGCCACACACTTTGATTCTTAGCCAACTTTGGGGATTGTTAGATGGTTCACCAACGGTCCCGCCAAAAATTAAACGTAAAGCAGGCAGTCAACAAACCAGGCAGCATCCAAAACGCCGTCACCTGTACCTCAAGAAGGTCAAGCATCATTGCAGCACCAAAGATTTATGGTTCATCACCACATATTACATCAACTTGCCATTTGTCCACTTTGTTGGTGGTAAATTCCCTATTTTCCATTGAATTTGCCAGTGTTTTTCATGTTAAATCGGTGGTAAATCCATGGTAAATCACCCCATCAGATGCCAACTGCCCGGCGCTCCGCGCTGCAGGCTCCTTCTTCGACGTGGACGATCTGCCGGAAGGCTCCTATGAAGTGGGCCCTCCCTACACCGAGGAGGTGCGCAGGGGATCTAGGGACATCTAGGGATCTTTGGCAGCATTTGATCCGTAAAATATCGGGAAACATGCTGTTTTTTATCGAAAAGAATATGTGTGCAACGAAAAAGGCTGGTTTTTCTACAAACAAAATGTCGTGTACTTGCTGGTTCGCCCCGGTTGTACCGGAAACTCGCACAGAAAAGATGGAAACAGTTATAGTCTTAGAATATAACATGGCCCACTAATTTGTAGTAGCGCTTTGCTGGTCTATCTTTATGAAGTTGCTATACATAGGAGTTCTTGATGGCCAAACCCTTTAGGCAGACATGAGTTATATGAATATATACGAATTGGTTTAATGGCGTTTTTCCGTAAGATATGATATGGCAATGCAGCCAACGGATCACCATCACTCATAGGGGAATCGTTTGTTGCAAGGGGGTGGATGTTGCACCCCAGACAAGATTGGTTTATTCAAGGGAAAAAACATGGATTGTCTCGATATTGCCAGTGCTGAGGTTATTAAAAGGATGCTTGCAAATGGCAAATGTTCTGATGAACCACTCAATCCTTGCAAGATCTGGATGAAATCTGAGATAGGTTTAGAGCATCGAGCAATCGTGTTTATGTTTATTTGCTACCGGGGGGACCCTTCTCTTGCCCTCAAATTTAGAGAAACACCCTTAGCCTTAAAACATGTGTAAAAAGATGAACATATATAGATCAAAAAGATTCGACATCGTCGACATCGCCATCCAAAACACGCAGAATCATCTGGTGGTTGCCTAAAATGGGGCTACCACATGGTACCACCAGTTCTCATCCATTTTAGATTGGGATGCTCCATGATTTTCCATGGTTTTCCATGGTTTGTAGGTGGATTTTCCCATGGCTTTTCCCACGGAAAAAACCATCCAGCTACAAAGGGGCTTTCCGGGCAATTTTCATCTAGGTCATGGAGTTGATGGCCAGGAGCTCAGTTTGGGGAAGGTTTTTTAAAATTATTTTTTAACTTTATAATATATATATAGAGAGAGAGAGTACTAAATATAGTACTTATATATATATATATATGTATACGTATGTATATATATATTCATTTACTTATTTATACACGTATGTATGATTATGTATGTAGTTATTTATTTACTATTTACATGTTGCATGTATAATTATATGCACTTAATTAATACATGTTTTACATGACAAGTACTAAATAATGTATATATGCACAACTGATTTGCCAAATCATGAAGGCAACTGGGGGTGTACCTCGTGTATAAGCCAATGGCAATGTCCAAATTTGGACCCTGAAATGAACCTAAATCTGTGATCTTCAATGGAGATCCCCATTGATTTGCTTCAGGTTTGGAAGGGTGTTTGATTTTACCCTCTGGTAAACATACAAAAAACTAGTGAAAAACACAATTTTTAATGGGTAAATCAACTATATTAAATGGGCCATTTTCGATAGCTATGTTAGTCATAACCAGAGGGTAGTGTGTCTTCGTTGTGTTGGTCATGCATTTCTTTGCAACATTGATGGATTAAAACATTGGCATGCACGAAGCTGTGGCATGTGTCTTCCTTCGCACATGTCGACCAAGCAGCCTTTTGGCGGCTAATAACCAAACTTAACCCTGATAACCTAGGGAAAAGGCAGGATTGGGAATTAGCCGCGGCATTTATTAATTTGTATCAGGATCGTTTGAAGGGTGAGTAACCCTCAATATGTTTTTTTTTGAGTTCTACCTATCCAATCCAATGCAATTGGATCTTCTCCAATCCAATCTAAACCATTTGATCTGTTTTTTTCTTTTATGTATAGGGTGGCTACCCATCCAATCCTACCAAAGTTTAAAATATATGCATATATATATATACATTATATTACATGTCCCTATGTCTCGGACATAGCTGCCATAGCTTGCCCCGCCGTCTCGGCCATTGCCCACCCCAATGGCCCAAGGCCCGGAAACTTCTGAGACACTTGCAGAGTTCCGAAGCGCAGCGGCGGGCGCTAAGTTTCGCACCTTGGCGCGAGCAAAAGGTGTGGACATCCCATGGGCCAAAGATGGTCCAAGGATGAGAACTCGAAATGGCCGTGGGTCAATACCTTTAGAAATCTTACCATCTGGTTATTTAATGATAGTTAATGATGGTTAATGATGGTTAAAACACCCCCTAATGGTGGTTAATGATGACTACCATCTGGTTATGACTAACATGGAAAATGGAAAACCCTTTTAAATGGAGGTTTTAATGGGAAAATCATCTATAAATGGACCATTTTCCATGGCTATGTTAAATAACCAGAGGGTATAAATTCAATCTTTTGGTGGATGGACATTGTGTTTGCCGGCCATGGCCGGCCCGTCATGGATGATATGCATGATGAACTTTTTCAAAGTGTAATTTCACATGATCAGACTGTTAATGATCAAAGGTGATATTAACCATCACTCTCAAGTTTCAAATCAACATGTTCCAATCATGGCTGAAAAAAACATCAAAGATTTGGGATCATTTGGAATCTAGTGCCGTGTTTTTTCAAGGGACATAAGAGAAACATAGCTACTTTGCTGAATGTCATGAGTGGCAAAAATCCGCAGTGAGGTGACCCCCCGAACGAAGACAGTGGGCGTCAAAGAAAAGGGCTTACACCAAGAATCACCTAACGTAACGTAACGGGTTTATCAACCATCTATCATTGTGGTTGATGTCCAAAAGTCTATGATTAGATTTAGATAGTGAATTATAGAATGTTAAAGATATACACATGTTTTGATGTTCAATTTGTTAGATTGCCCATTTATATCCATTTATGATTTACGACAATAGCAGATTTTCCATTGCTATGTTTAATTTGATTACTGGAGGGGATGTATAGGGCTTATTATACCCCATCAACACAAATGGACGTCATTAACAACCCCTGTTCTTGTTTTCTTTTTGGGGGGGATGTTTTATTTTTTCAATAGGTGAATTATCTAATGTCAACCCTGGATTGATAATCCCCAAACGGCTGTTTAATTGGCAGGGTATAAAAAAAAAGTATCAGATGACTATTGGAGGATTACCCTCATGAATATACCATGGTTTATTCCTGGGTTGACATTAACTGATTGTTGGTTTGGAACATGAATGTTTTTTTCCATAATATATGGGGTAATCATCCCAGCTGGCTTTCATATTTTTCAGAGGGGTAGGCTCAACCAGCAACCAGTTAATGGGCCATGTTTCGCTGTCATAGCCCCAACAAGATACCCCACAGGGCACCCACCCAAGGTGGTCTTCGTTCCTCACTGGGGTGATGACTGCACGGCGTGTGGCAGCTCAGCATGGCTGGGAAATCGCCTCTACATGGACTTTCAATGGGAAAATTATCTGCTGTGGCTGTTTATGGTTAATTGATCTTTATTGGGGGCTTTCCATTGCCATACATATATATATATATATTATCTATTTATCTATCTATCTATCTATATATATATATATATATCTGTGTGTGTGTTTATACGTATCTATATATGTGTGTGTTTTCTTCATGGAAACAATTGTGTGGCCTTGATCAATGTTTGTTTCAACACATGCAGGCATGCCTGGATTTGGTGCTTGCACATGCCCTTTCCTTGGGATGCAATCAACCACAGCGAGCATAGTATTCAACAGAGGGGGTGTTTGACCAATGGGCATTTTGTTCATTTGATGGCGGCCAAGTTCAATTAACGTTCCTTCCTCGGTGTTAGGTCTGATTGTCACTTGACAATCTACTGAGCATTCAGCCATATCTGGGTGGACACACAACAGAAGAGACGTGCAAATGGCTCAAGAGATCCATCCCATTCGAATCCATTCCCATATTTATTATTTTGAAATAATGCTTTGTGTCCATGTCTCGTTGCCAAGTGGTCGCAGTGAAACCATGCAACTTCCAGAAGTCTCCACCGTGGCGGACTTGCAAATTCTCGCCCAGGAATCTCTCGGTCAGAAGTTCTTGAGGCTTGTGACATCCAAAAATGATGCCCTCACCAACCCCCTGGACTCATTGCAAGCTGCAGGCATCCAAGAGGGAGAGCACCTCACAGCACTGGCCCAACGAGCGAAAATCGCATCCACCGGTGGAGCCTTTGCTGTGTGGTGTTGCGGAGGTGACAAGATTGTGACATGGGGCAGTCCAGGCCAGGGTGGTGACTGCTCTGCGGTTCAAGAGCAATTCAGGAACGTGCAGGAAATTCAGGCCACAGGTTCGGCATTTGCTGCCATTTTGTCGGATGGATCAGTGGTTACCTGGGGCGATCCTATGCATGGGGGCGACAGCTCTGCAGTTCAAGATCAGCTCAGGAATGTGCAGCGGATTCAAGCTGGTGAACATGCATTTGCAGCATTCCTGGCAGATGGGGCAGTAATTACCTGGGGCGAGCCAGAGTATGGTGGCGACAGCTCTCTAGTTCAAGATCAGCTTAAGGACGTGCAGCGAATTCAGGCCACAAGTGGCGCATTTGCTGCCATCCTGCAGGATGGATCAGTCCTTACCTGGGGCAGCTGGTGCTTTGGTGGTGACAGCTCTGATGTTCAAGATAGGCTCAGGAACGTGCAGGAAATTCAGGCCACACGTTTTGCATTTGCAGCTGTCTTGGCTGATGGATCAGTCGTTACCTGGGGTGGTCAATTCTCGGGTGGTGACAGCGACGCAGTTCAAGATCAGCTTAGGAATGTGGAGCGGATTCAAGCTGGTGAACGTGCATTTGCAGCGATCTTGGCAGATCGGTCGGTCATTACCTGGGGCGATCCATTGTATGGTGGTGACAGCTCTCTAGTTCAAGATCAGCTCAAAAACGTGCAACAAATTCAAGCCACAAGTATCGCATTTGCTGCCACCCTGCAGGATGGATCAGTCTGTGCCTGGGGCAGTCCGCACTGTGGTGGTGACATCTCTGCAATTCGAGAACAGCTGAGGAATGTGCAGCATATCCACGCAACAGATGGCGCATTCGTGGCGATTTTGGCCGATGGATCCGTGGTCACCTGGGGCGATCCCAGACGTGGTGGGGACAGTTCTTCAGTTCAAGATCAGCTCAAAAATGTTCAGTTCATTCAGGCTGCAGACCGTGCATTTGCAGCGATCCTGGCAGACGGGTCAGTAGTGACCTGGGGCAGTGCAGGTGGTGGTGGTGACAGTTCTGAAGTGCACCAATTGCTCCAGTGCTTATAGGCTTTGGTGCCCCTATGCCAATCATTTGGTGCCTTCCATGCACCAGGAATCGTAACCGGAGATTAGCGATGGTGTAAAATAGGAAAACGCCAGTCATGGGATAAAACGACCAATACTCAACCAGTACATTTTGATTATGCTTCCTTTTTGTTGCGTTATTTTATTTTATAGAAAATATAAAATATACATATGAATGTGGTTGTTTTTCACCTTGGAGCTGATTGGCAAGATGACCAGCGAGTCGTCCCACTTGGATCTGAAGGTTATTCCATGAAGACATTCAAGGTGATGCACATAACTTGGTTAACTAGGGTTTTTCTGGGAGATAGAACTATAGTAACCGTAGTTTTCATGGGTTTTGAAACCATCACCTTGTTGCAGAGATCCCCCCCGTCCCCAAAAGTCCTTGATTTACCCCCCATAATCAGTCACATGGCGCCACCGATGCCCATTGAGGCCACAGGGCCAGCCAGTTCTACTTGATTTTGGACCTGGATGATCCTATCATTGATGGCTCTAAAAGTAACGCGGTAAAAAAAAGTCATAGGCTGCTTGGTGGTTTGGAATATGAATTTTATTTTCCATTTCATATATGGGATGTCATCCTTCCCATTGACGAAGTCATATTTTTCAAGATGCTTCAAACCATCAATGGATTGGTTTAAGGGAAAATCTGCAGGAAACCAGAGATGTTCCCATTAAGTATGAGGCTTTCCGGTTAAAATTTTCCCTTAAACCAATCCATTGAAACCACCAACCAGTAGTAAACCATCCCCAATTTGTGGTCTATGGGCATCCCGCTGAGGCTGAGCCTAATGGGCGGTGGGGACTTTGAAGCTTTCCGCCCATCGTGGCCCGGTGTCCGTACAGGAAGGGGAGAAGCTATGCATGGGTTTATGCCTGGAAAATCTCAACTTTGGAGAAAAGATAAACATCAGAAACTGGATTATTTCCAGTCAGGTCAAAGTACTGGAGGGTAGTTGTCTTAGTTGTTTTTGACCAAGCTGGTCCATGTATGTCAGAAAAAAAAAGGTAAACAGGAACATTCTAGAGATATGGGAGCTAGAACAAGTTACAACATGTGAAATCGATTGGAATAACTCACAACAGAATACTCTGTAACAGCAACAGCGTGTAAATAGAACATGTGTTTTAACAATGTGCACGGAAGGTCTCCTGGCTGAAGCCTAATAAAAAACAGTAGCTGAGCTGATCCGACCAACCCCATTTCCCTATAAGAGTAATTGTTCTCAAAGGGCCAGGCAAGTCATGAATAGATCCATTGATGCAATAATGATCCAAGACATTTTGCTACACTTTCGATTGAGGTTTGACAGAATCTTAGATGGATGGGGTGTCACAGGTTTGCGGGGGGGCTGCTACATAGCCGCATAGCTCAGTGATGCCCAAATATAATCATCGGACCGCCGAGACCGCAGGTTTTGTTTGTTTGTTAGACTCCACATCAAATGCTTGAGTCTAGCAATAAGCTGCTCTCTAGTGTCACATGCTGAAATGATCTGTTCTTGTACTGTATTTGTAAAATTATGTGTGTCATTTTTAGCACACCATTGGGATGAAGAATTTATGCCCCAAAATGCCCCTAAAGCACATCCAACTGATCCAACTGGCCATGGTTCATTGAGCCAAGGCCCTGCAAGAGCAGTGAGAGCCCCTACCTGTTGGCACGTGGCCGTCGGCACGCTCAGTTGGAGCTGGTGGATGGCTGAAATATGAGAGCAGTTTCGCCAACAACCATGGCTTCAGATTTGATTGGATGGAAAGGTGGTCATTTGAAACTTGTTTTTTTTGAATGTTGTTGTTTCTCCACTGTTTGATTTTGACGGCTTCTTGTTTTGGGAACGGATTGGCACCAATTATTCCATGAATATGGATGAACTTGGGAGGTTACCCTCTGGTAAACTAACATAACTATGGAAGATCACCATTTTTAATGGGTAAATCAACTATTTCTATGGCCATTTTCAATAGCTTTTTGTATGTTTACCAGAGGGTAAAGCCTTCACCAGCATGTTCCTCAAAAATCAGCTGGTCATGTAGGATTCATTGTGCGATTCATGGGGCATATATGGAATTGTTTGTGGTTGGTTGGTCAGCTCCATCCCCCGCTATATTCTATATCATATTCCTTACACATAATGTAGGTAGCCTCTGGTAATCAAACGCGGCAATGGAAAATCCCCTACAGGGGGAGGTTTGAATGGGAAAATGATGGATTTTGAAGTGGCACGTTTGATCACCAGAGGGTAGATATGATAAATATGTATTGCCACAACTCCACCAGGATTGCCGTTTGTGAGATTGTCATGGAGATACATTCCCTTCATGGGATACGAATCTCTGCAGTGTTCTCAGGTGAACATCACTACATCTCTGGAGCCGCTCGATTAGAGATACCCTTCCAGCCATGAGGTGGCAATGGTGCTTCAACCAGCAACATATGGTAAAATCGCCATTCATTAAACATGGTGAAAAGCAGATGGCAGGTTTGCTTTTTTTATCTTTGGCCATGGGAATAGTTACGGAGCAATTACTGAATTTTGTTTGATGCTTGTACGATCATTGATCACACACGTGTGTATATATAATTTATATACATATATATAAATCCATCTATCTATCTCTCTCTCTCTCTCTCCCCGGGGCCCTGTCCATGATTGCCATGATCAACTTCGAATAAATTAATGCCCACAATGGGTGAACGACCAGCCCAGTGATGTTTATTGTTAAAGCATTTATTTGGCCCCACACGGGTATAGCAGGAGTTTTGATGAGATTTTGTTCATAGCCATGTTCGAAGTGGTTCAACGGAAATTTGTATGAAACCCCAGTGTTTGACGGTAAAGACCATGGTTTCCTGCAGATTACTTTTAAAAATACATGGGCCAAATCCAAGGTACAGTTCTTTCACGATTCCGGTGCCGACGCGCGTAGGCTTGGCTCGGGTTTCCGCTCGGCTTGTATCTGGTTGGTTCACAATAGTGAGTCAAACGTTCCGACCCATTGCGCAACAGCATTCAAACATGCTTAAACATTTCTCAGAAAGAAAATTCATGTTTGGTTGCCAGTTTCCCATCACCCGTACCCACCATAATTACCATCCGTGCTTGGGAAGGATGTTTTCAAATCTCAGGCGAGTGCCTGGGTGGGTTTCTGTTTCTGAGAAATCCACTACTTGGGGAATCGATGAATCGATCTATAGGGAATATGTGTGTAATGTCTGTAATGTTTGGGGGTTCCAAGAAAACAAATCCAAGATCATCTACAGAAAATCGTGATCTCTGATTGATGAGAATTATATACCCTCAATCGGCTTAAGTTGCTGGAGCTTGGGTCGCATGCTGTCGCCTCTGGATGTCGTGGCCAGGCGTTATTATGATGTGCCCCATGGCACTCGCATCTACGCAGCGCGGCCCAACGTTGGGTTGGCTACGGCTCAAAAACGCAACGGTCCCACAGGAAAAAATAATGTTTATATAGTATAAAATTAGCAAGGGACATTCTGACAGTCTGTTTGAGTTTGGTACAACGCCGTAGGAAAAGTAAATAGTGCAATGCACATTATATTTAAACTTAAGCATATTTACGGTATAAACAGATAATTAGAAATAGATAGAAATAGTACAATCTAGCGATCTCTTTTGTGGAGTGAAGTACTATTGCGATTCATGATCAAATTGTTTTATCCGAGACATTTTATAGAATATCCCTTCGGAACACTCAGCTTGGGGCTTAAACATCCCCGATGAAAGTTGGGCATCTAGTGCTTTTACAACGGGATTCTGCCAAGCTGGCTTAATTTCAGGAGCATAACCCTTCGTCGCAGTCTTGACTCTAGGTGCTATAGACTGCATGTGCCACCATCTGCCTACATAGTGGTTTGCAAACACAGTTTCCTAGTGTCATGCCAGCACGTGGGGTTCGATGCCACAGAAGCCGGCTGGATTCCATGCGAAGAAATGCCGCTGGTTACTTTCATTGTTCCTTCGTAGCCAAGTGGAACCCAAAAATGGTCATTTGCATCTTCTTTCACCCTAATATTGGGGATTCTTTACATCAAGCATCATCAATCCTACAGTTTCAGAACCCATCTATTGTTGATAATGGTTACTTGCCAGTGGTGGTAGAAGTCACAGAATGTGATCCTATAAAGTCCTAGCACCAAGAATATCCAAAAGTCACTGCTTCATATAGGTGCTGCAGACGTCATCTGGTGCGTCAAAGTGGCCATTCGATGAGGCACGTGAGAAACGGCAAGCTGCGGAGAAAAATTCTTTCGGGGGTTCCAATTTGCTTGCCTCAAATGGGTACGACTACTATACACTCATCCTGGAAAAGATTGTTTTTTTTGTTGTTATCCGATTTTTTGTCTCAATATCATGCAGTTTTAAATGTTTTTTTAACAATTTTCTTGACGTGTGGATGGTCCATTTATTTGGTTGTGTTTTATCCATAGTTTTTAAAAGTTTTTAGGTAAATTTAAAATGATTGGCACCTGAAACACCCATGAAAAACTGTTGAATTCAGACGGTAGTGGTGGGATCTGCTTCCAAGTTGCTTGTGCTTGGCACTACTCTCAAAAAAGTAGTCAGTACTGGCACAGGTCAACATGTCAAACTGGTGCACAAAGTGCAGAATTTTAGATGATTTCTTGAAGCTTTGCTGTGAGGTTTTCCCTTCGCAAGGAATTTACGATAGCAAAAGAGAGCAACCCTTGTCAATATTGGCTGCACATGTTTAATCTGTAGTACCTGGCCCATACAGCTCTAGTATATACTGGTTGATGATTTAATGGTGGTCAAATTTTCCTTGAATGTACCCTCTGGTTATTTAACATAGCCATGGAAAATCACCATGCTATTAATAGGTAAACCAACTATAAATGGGCCATCTATACCATGGCTATGTTAAATAACCATAGGGTATTTCCGCCAACCTATTTGACAGAGTTATGTTATTCCATAGCCTCTGAGCAACCAGACCGGGGTAGTGCTGTAGTACCGCACCAGCTTCAAGCAGATCGCAACTACAGGCAGTACAACACGCATGCCAATACAGCGCAAAAAAAAGGAGAGTTGGGAGTGCAACTCATTTTGTCCATTAGTTGGATACGATTGCTAATGAGAAACATATATTGACTGGACCGTAATAACTGACAATATTAGTTGGGTGCAACTTCTTCCAAGGCAGCCGCAAGGGCTTTGCTCGACAAGCTGAGCCCGGCAGAACAGCAAAAATCATGGGCTGCACGGTGGAACGTGCTGATGCCATGTGGAAATGTCCGGCCACCGCTAACCAACCCTTTGGCTATCCTTTTTACCTTGAACCCAGGTTGCAGCAGTCAACCGTATGCCTTGTTGTTTCTTTAGGAACTCACGTGAAGAGAAATAGAAGAGAGAGACAGAGAGAGAGATATGAACTGGATGGGTACTTCAATATGTTAATCATTTGCTACACATATCTACAAATGAGGACGCATAATGACGAGCAAGAGATTGCATGTTTGCAGGGTATCTAGGTTGGGACTTGGATCTGCAAGGAGCTAAGGATGGGCACCAGATGGCACTATATCCCTTGGGGAGCTCTTTGGATCCTTGCAGAGGAATCATGGATCTAATGATCTCAATAGTTGTTCGGCCAACATCGGTAGAGTCAAGGATATAGCACAGACTGGGGTGCATCCAGCACAGAGTGGAAATTCAATGGGCCTGGGTCAATTTGTTTCTGACGCACCTCGAGCTGGAGACTTTCTTTGCCCACGTTTTGGTTCACAGAAGATGCGTCGCCTTACCCGGCTCAAGGCCCGAAACACATCAGAACAAGCCGCAGCAACGTGCGCTGGTGGAAAATCCAATCTGGCAATGGGAAGATACATGTTTTTTTTTCTCCGGGGTTTGGTACAGCACATAATACGATGATATAATAATTAATGATACCTGCATGGAACTAAACAGTTATCCAATTATTCTATCAGCGCATTATGTATTCGTACACCTCCATTTAATGATATTGTGAAGATAGTGGAACTAGGAAGTGGAGGCGGCTTAGCTTTGACCAACCATTTTTACATCCAGATTTCCAGGGGGAAGAAGCACATGCTCATGGGATGTCCCATTCTCGAGCCAATTCAGCTTCGACTTTCACTGCGGATGCAAAGGGTCGCAGCGTAGGAGCGACCACAAAATGCATGTTATTTAAGCCAGATGTAGTAAACTACCCTTTTTGCATCTATTTGCATCCATGTTTCACGGTGAAAAAAAAGGGCTCACTGGGCCAAAGATCAAAGAGTTGTGCCCCGGGGCCATGGTGGATTTCGAGATCGACATCAAGAAGGTCAACTGGATTCCGAAACATGTGGAGGTGCGGGAGATCGCCCTGGGAGCTGCTATTTGGTGAAGCAATGCGCTGGTTCGAAGCGAATAAATAAATAAAACTTCAAAAAAGGATAGTGAACAAGTACATCTGGTTGGTGGTTTGGAACATTTGGATTATTTTTCCATATATTGAGAATGTCATCATCCCAACTGACGAACTCATATTTTTCAGAGGGGTAGGGCTCAACCACCAACCAGATAAGTTGGTCACCATGGAAGTTACCATTCGGCCATTCGCACATGAGGATCTGAAGTGGATTCATCTCTCGTCCCATGCTGCCATCGAACACTCCAAGATCTCGAAGCCATTTTTCATTAGTTTCTGGTGACGTTTGACTTGCTGTTACTCAAAAGTGTTTATCAAATCTTAAGATGAAATCGTGCTTTATATATATATATATGTGTGTGTGTAAATTACAAAGAGAAAATGTTTATATATATATATATTAAACTGTATTTGTTTGGCATATTTTTGCTGATTACAACACGTGTTTTTGTTTCATGTTTCACCCGTGGGCCAGGAGATTGCAGAGGTGGCCAGCAAGGTGAGGATTTGCTTTCCCTCATCAGCTGTTAGTGGTTAACAGCGATTAATGGTGATTATACTGAGTTAATGCTGATTAAAATAGTGATATAAATGGTGATGAAAATAGTGATGAATGATGATTCATGGGTGATTATAATGAATGTACCCATATCCATGGCTTAATGATGATGAACATAGTGATAGAAGCAGTGATTAAGAGTGATTAATAGTGGTGCAAGAAGCGATCGATAGTGATTCATATTGATTCATTAGTAGCACTCTAAGGCTAGCATCATGTTCTTCATGTTCACCTTCACCTTCATTTCATCTAATCGGATCGAGCTGATGATCGTCATGGTGGTGGTCGTGGTGGTGCTGTATGTTTGCGGGGTAGGTTTCCCAGAAGAGATGGTTCCAGGCAGTTGGCGGTCTGATAAATTACCCTGGTAATCAAGGGTGGCAATAGATGATTTTTTCCCAGCTATAAACCTCCATTTAGTTCGATGATTTTCCGGAGATCGTCATTCCCTTTGTTTTTCAGCTTCCAGCCATGTATTTTGAGGGGTGCACCATAGTGTTTCTGCGTGCCCCCTCAAAGCTATCCCACACCATTTGCCCCTTCTAGCCGTTTTGGATGATGAGGAATGACAGCAAAACATCATGGCCCTCAATGGAGCTACCATGAATTGAATAGGCATTTGCAGATATCGCAGTCGACCACGTGATCCTTGCAATGCGTCTACCCTTTCAAACTGGCCAGATGATGGGACCATTCTGGAAAGTCTTTGGTCCTAAAGGTGCTGCATTCCACCCTCCAATCAGAAGCTGCCATGTTGATGGGAAACTCTTGTAATTAAAAAACAGCTGAAAAATGTCATGTTGCATGCTTTATTCCAACCAAGCTCATAGTTTCGCAGCCATCGCCATGATGCAGTCATGATTCAGCCATACATTTCATAAGTCATCATTTTTGTTGCAGCTTTGCATCCCAATCTTTCAGCCTGGGCACGACGCTGGCACCATGCCATGGCTGCGATCGATGCGGAAACGCGCCTTTGTTGACCGATCCGGGGAGGTGGATGAAGTATCCCATGGCTGCAACGTTTCAGGTGAGTGAATTATGATAATTTACTCATGATATATTTCAGATATTATCATGATACTACCATGATAATATGTTGATTATTGTTGATTGGTCTAATGTCATGGATCATGATATTACATGATATTGGATCTGGTCCATTATGGTATTTACAATGTTCTTTTCATTGGTCCATGTCATGCTTACCATGATGTTTTTACCATGGGGGTCCCTGTAGGTTCTGTATCGCTAAAAGGGTATCAATGGCCGGTGGTGCTCCGTCCGGCAGATCATGGCCTTCTCGCTGGCCTTGGTTTACAATGGTGTTTACACACTGTTCTAGCCCAAGTGGCTATCATAATCATTCCCTTTTTCCCCCTACAAATTGTCTGACCGTTATGGTCATGTATTTGTCCTTTTTTTGAAGGGTGGAGGTCTCACACCGAAAACCATAGAAACCTGTTTCTGTAGCTTGGGGCAGAGTAGGATGCCAAGGCCTCCGCAGATCGAAATTCTGAACTTGACATGGGTGTCTTGGCTTTGCAGTCCTTCTCTCCTTGGCCATGCCGAAAATTCGAAGTGATTTAGCCTCTAGATTAACATCGACCCTGCCATACGTTGGGGGTGCAAGATGAAAATCCAAGAATCGGCTATTAGGTCAAACTGGTCACCTGGTGGATGGTAGGATTGTAAGAGGCTAGGCATGGCATTTTTGATGATGACAGTTCCAGTGAAATCGTGATATTGGTCGAAATGGTACAAAATGCTTGGATTTTAGGGATGGCTAGGTAACCAGCATTGACATATTGGAAGCTACACAGACTGCCCCTCAGGGACGCCCATAGAATGCCAAATTCACCTCCCTATCCCCTTCCTCTTGGACCATCGACTTCAGCTTTCTTGTGGCCACCATGATGTACCCCCATACCCCCGTGGTTGGTTCCCTCAAACTGGAACATGGACAGTCCCAACTTTGATAATTTCCCATAGTTGCCACACACTTGTGCCAAATCACATTGGAAGAAATATCAGCTATAAATGTAGGATAAACATTACATAGATGTTTTGCGGACTATATAAATTTAACTATTTACTGACTTCATATTCACGAACTTATCAACGACTATGCCCTCCAGGACATTGACATAGACGCTGCCACAAGTTGGGGTTTGAAGACGAGTTTCCACTAAACATGTGACTATCTTCAGGGTCAAACTGTGAATTGGGGGGACTATAGTGATTATATCTGGGTAAAATCATTGGTAAATATCTTGATGAATTGGTATTGCAACTGTATACCCACCATATGTTTTTACAAAAAAACAAGTTGTGTACATCCTTAATATGACCGTCTTCCCATATCAATATTACATAATATTACTGGTTGGTGATTTGGAACATTTTTCCCCAATAGTTGGGATGATGATCCAATCTGACTTTCATATTTTTCGGGGGGGGTGTATACCACCAACCAGATTACAATATCAACTATCAAAATATCGTAATATTGAACCGGTTGGCATATCCCCATGTTTCTATGACGATAGAATATTACTATTATATTATTATTTATTGATGAGAATAGCACCATCAACTATTTACCCAGCAAATCCCTCATAAGTTGACCCCTCGATGACTTGCCCTGGGGCCCAGGCTTCGGTGATCAGCACTGCTGCCGCGGTGCCGCTGCACGCGGAGGGCCTCCTCTTCGGCGGCGATGGGCCGGTGATCGACGGCTTCCGCCGCTCGGGGAAAATCCATGACGAAGCCGAAAAAAAAAAACGCTGGGAAAGTGAGGGAAATCACCAGTGAAACCTTGGGAAATTCGTGAATCCATGGGATTTTGATGCCATTGTTTCTGTTTTTTTCCCCTCGCATCAGCATATCTGAGACAACTTGAACAACTTCGGGGCATCGAGTGAATTCTTGTGAATGGCAAAGTTTGAGAATCAATTGTACGCACTGCACTTGGTATGCTCATTTTTTTCTTTGGCAATGAAACATGGCACCAGGAAATCCGATCCGTGACTTCCTCAGACGGTGGCATTTCCCTAGTTTTCTTTTCCATTGCCAGTTAAAATTGCCGAGTGTGAAAGAGTTGTTGTATGTTTTGTTTGGTGTTTTGCAATTTTGTATGTTATAGTGATGATATTGATGATTTTCTACCTCGGATGGAGTAAGGTTTTGGCCATGTCACAGGGCACATTTGGTGGTGTCAAATATCTTTGGTTTTCAATGGGTGGTGTCGGACACAACATCGATTCTTTGCGATGATCCCCATGACATTGGTACATTCGTGGCTCAGGAATCAAGCAGCCAACGAGAAAATCCAATATTTGTTTTTCGCTGAAATGCACCATCTATAGCTGATTGTCCAACTGTCCAATTTTCTGACGTAGCTTTCAACCCCATTTTTTCTTAGCCTTTTGTTGATTGACACAGCGCTGCGATCTTCAATTAGGCCAGTGACTATGTGGGGACCTCTTGTATCAATCAACAAGTTTTCTTTTCCCTCAACCTGTTGGTAGATGGATGGAAATATGAGAGATACAGTATACATTATACATGTAATATAGGTTGGTTGGATTTTGCTTCAAGTGTGGAGAGCAGTGGCAACGTGTTTGTTGTTTTTTTTTGCCATAGGGATAAAAACAAAAAAATCATATCCCAGATATTTCCCAGATTTGTTTCGTGGGAGTTGTTTTGGGGTCCGATTCTTCCTTGACTTCAGCTGCCACCCCTGGGCATTCGTACAAATCCCCAGGCCTATTTCAGGCAAACACCCTGGACCCCCCTAGCCAAAAGAAATGTATGGCAGATGTTCCATGATTTTCCTACCTACATTTATTGTGTACCCTCTGGTGATTTAACATAACTATTCAACATTTCCCATTTACAAGTGACTTTCCCATTAAAACCTCCATTGATGATTTTGCATAGCTATGTTTAAATAACCGGATGGTATATGCAACTCCCCCAAATGTCATCTTTCCTGTAGATAACAAGCAGCGCACTGGTTGCAAGGACTGCTGGGGGAGCTGGGTTCCTCAGTGGTTGATAGCAAAGCTGGACCAAGACTTTCAGAGGAGGCGCTTCGAGTGGTACGACAACAGCAGGACAAGAAACGCCACGACGCCACGCCACATGAAGCGAGTTTCAACCGTTTCAGCCCCGCTTCGCGAAGCTCCAAAGTTGCATTTCCAGCCAAAAAATGAGGGAAATCGATTGCAAGATTCGCTGGTGACCAGACATGGCAATGGAAAGTCCTGTGATTTTCGTTGGATCATGATTTTTTAGTGATAGAAATGGGTATCCAAGATCAGCCATTGTTGTGGCTGGTCATTGTGACTTTCATCTATATGGTCCGTCTCCCCCATGTTTGATGGTCAAATCCACCAATTTGATCCATTTTATGGAGTGGTCAAAGCTGTTAACATCTGTCAACTCAAAAATCTTTGTGATTCAATCTGTATAGATAAGTATGCCGCAATGAGCCGCAATGCTACATTATAAATAATATATACAGAGAGAGAGAGAGAGTTTCCTCCATACGACATTTGCCAAGTCACCTGATTGCAATTCCGTCACCTTGCAGGACTCGGGTAAGAAATTGCTGGGCTGGTGCTCCTTGCAACCAAGCCCTCGGGATTTGGAGAAGCCCTACGACTTGCTGGTGCGGCTGGGAGGTTGACAGATACACCCAGATACACCAAGATGGAAAGATGTGAAATGTTCGAAGTTCGAGACCATGAACATCTTGGTGTTTTTTTGGGGCATTGAAAAAGTATATTTGAAATTGTGGCTGAACATGAGTCGGAAAAATTTGGAGACTCAACTGACTCAACCATCGACACGTTTTTCGCCATAGCCAGGGCCCATGGTCCACGATCCGACCGGTGTCGGTTCCTCGCAGGCCCCAGAACGGCAGCTTCACGAGGCCCTGCAACGGACCAAGGGCGCGGTCGGCGATGCCTTGGTCGGCTGCGTGGTGGCCTCGCGCCGGAAGCGCGTGCGAGGCATCTTTGGACAGGCGATGGGGTGATGTTGGACACACCTCTTAAGCCCCCCCTTTAATCCATCCCCTGAAGCCCCTTAAGGTGTAGCTGCTGACTTTGTTTCAAGATGTTTTTTTTCCAGGTTGGCTTGGGTCATTTGGAAACGTGATATGAATGCAATTGAGATATACCGATCAATGGATGTACACCAGGAGTTTGCATGTCAAGATATAGTTCAGCTTCTATGGGGCCGTCAGAATCGGGCATGAACTTCATGAACATACAGCATGTGCCAGCAGTTTTCGTGTGAACAGCAGGGTGCCAGATTTTTGTCATACCCAGATATTGGCAGTGCAATGAATCCTTTTCCAAGAAACTTGGCGGCCGGTGAGTCCATTTTGGGATTTAGGATGCTACTGAGGGTCCCACGTTAATACCTCACAAAGCGGTGCCCCCTAAGTTGGTTTATCAACCGTTTCATTTAGGTGTAAATCACCACGTTTGCCTAGTTTTCAGCCAACCTAGCTATATATCTATAGCTATCATAAATCGGCCATAAACCCTGTAATGAAATTACATGTTTTTGTTTGTTAAGTCACATGTTTTTGTTTGTTAAACAGCGGGGCTAACTCTATTCTTGATCATTTGCACCAGGACGCCTTCTGCGTGGTCGGCCCACGCTTGCGATACCAACAGCTGACGATTCGAAGTATGGGCGGCTTGGTGTTTTGGGAGCAGCACATTGTCAACCTCCTCACTGTAGTGGTTGAATCACATTTCTCTTCAGCCAGTTCTCCAGTTCTCTCTGGGTTTCAAATGTGTCAATCCCCATCGATCTCAATTTTGTGAGATACTGTGGATGGAAGAAATCCTGTACCAGTAGATGGTTTATCCCATAATTTAAAGGGTTTCAACATGTGTCAACCATCCAAGGTGGCGCAGGATTTCGCAACCATCCACACTATGATCATATAAATATAAATAAATATATATATGTGTGTGTGTGTCTATATATAGATATATATGTATAAGACCCACATTTTTGCTAGTGACTGAGTTACATGCCCCATTCCCAGCCTCATGGCTAAAGGCACAACCACCGGCAAGGTGGAGGCTGCAATCGAGTTGCCAGCGACTTGTTTTTTTCGAAGATTGGTTTGATGGGAAAAACAAGAGGTTTCAATAGAATTCAGAGGTGTAATGGTGGTTTGATGTGGCTTTATATGGTTTAAACATGTTTGAATCATAGGATGATCATAGAACAATGGCATTTAATGATGTTTAATGCGGCTTTATATGGTCTAATTACTATTGTTGTTCTATTGTTAAACGGGGATTTTGTTTTTGGGATAATCAAAGAATATTCTATGGGATTTAGCTTCCGGTGTCATCAAACGTGGCATCTCCCCGAACTGGCCATGGAGGTTTCGAATGGGAAAATCAACTGTAAATGGAGGATGTTCCAGCCACGTTTGATTACCAGAGGGTAAGTGACTGGATGGATTAGTAGCCATGAACTTCGGCACTTCGATTGTTTTTTGGTTCTTTTTTGGGAGAGATTGGAGGTTTACGATATCATAATGACGGGTGTTCCTTTAACATCTTTTCACATCTAGGATCGGATGGGTTTATCAGTCTGTTTTCGTTTCATTGGGGTTGGAAATTTCACTAGGTGGGACCGGATGGGTAAACACAGTTTTTGCAACATCTCACTTTTTTAGTGAACGACTGTTTTTAGGCTTCAAAAAAAAAATGTCCTCTCTATAGGTTGGAAACTGCTGGCGGTGACCCACTGCTTTTCAAAAGAACAGCTTAAGCACCAACGGCCAATAGGAAAGATGTCCATATTCCTGGTATGGGTTGGAACCACCGACGATGGCTGTTGAACCGGGAAAACGGGTGGATTCTTCCCAAAAAGTATGGACATTTACCATCCGAAAAAGTGGAATATATTATGATATGTCACATGAGCCACTGCGTTTATGATAGTTTATGCAGCAAAAATGTGAATGTAAGATGATGTAACCAAGAATGAGGATTAGATGCAAATGATGAAACACACCATATTTCAACAACTCGACGGCCGGGTTGGTCCTGCTGAGGAGGAGGCGCTCAAGACCTTGGCGGCCGCAGCCGAGAGCATGGAGAAAGATAAGGCGCGGAAGGGCTGGAAGGTCATCATTGAAGACCAACAACAGAAACAACATATATATAAATATTTATATATATAAATATAAATATATATAATCAACCAGCAAACGCATGAACGAACAAATGCAATGCAATGAATGAACGAAATGAAATGAACAAAATACAATGCAATGAACAAATATGAAGAAATAAAGAATTCCAACTCCAAGTCACTTAAAACGTGGAAAGATGTTGCCTTTCTCCACGTTGCCGCAGGAGTTAGAGGAGGCCATCCAACAACGTCTCCGCGACACCGACAGCTCGCTGCCCTTGTCGCAGCTGCACCAAGCGCAGCGTGCGGTGGAGAAAGAACGGTCGCATGAGTGAGGCATCCCCAATCCACTTTGAAATTTTGTTGATTACTATCACATCCCAATTTTTATTGCAAAGAATCAAAGAGTACTAGTGTTGGTTTGTTTGTTTGATCCCCATAAACTCGTCATATTCAACCCGAACGGTTGCTGCTTGCATGCATCAATATCCTAATCCAAAACCCGACCGCCCTCGTATGGCTCAAGCAACACACGCTTTGGCAACGCTTGGCGACATTGCACTTGGCGCTCTTTTTTGCATTTATCAAAGAGAATGAAACTTGGCACTCGCATGTGGTAAAGTTTATCAAGGTACCGTTTTTTTGGTGTTTTTCAGTTGTCCCAAGATTCTCCATGCAGGAGTATTTCATCAGCCCACCTACCCATGCAATGTGGTTTTAGTTTTTGTTCAGTGACTTTGTGCTTGGAACAGGCCAATAATCATAATGATATGATTTGCGAACAGAATTCCAGCAAGTGACCTGGGCAACCCGTTTTTGATCCCGAAAAAATGTTTCCAGGACACTTGTTGCAGACTGCGTGAAAAAACTTTTTGAGCGAGCGTCTAAACTTTTCAGTTGTTTTTTTGGGATTAGGTTCTCGCGCCAAGAGGCCCCACCCAATTCACTATGAGGTTTCGTGGGGGCGTCTAGGGGCCCAAAAGCAAGGAAAGCTGACGTCAAAATTATCAGGGGCTTGGCCCTTTAAAAGGAGCCATGAGGAGGGCAGTAGGGCCTGGATAACTCAGGTCTTTTTTCCACCCCTTAACTTACCTCTCGCCTAGCAGTTTTCCCGTTGGTTTCACATCAAAACAAAATTTGAAAAAGGAACGCCCCCCAAAAAAAACGGCCATACATTGTTCTCAAAAAAGGAAAGCTCCCATATATGCATTTTTTTTTCCAGGATGTATGCCCATTTTTTCCGGGGGTTGGGGGTGGTCCTTTTTTTGATATTTTTGGCTTTTGATATTTTTGGGTTTTTGGGGATCCCAAGCCAACAGGAAAATTACAATGAGCGTCTCGCAGGCGCAGGCGAACCCAGCTGGAAAAAGGTTTAAGCTTTCCTGGGCATTGACGCCCACTAAGTAAGAAAAAATGAAAAAACACTGACGCTCGACTCAACACTTTTTCTTGCGCAGCTTTCCCCTTTTGGAGAAAGGGGATGGAGGATACGCCTTTTCCCTTGTCCAAGGGGGCGGCGGATGTCTTGTAGTGGTTTATGTGTTTGTTTTTGTTGCAAACAGTGAATTGTGTGAAACTGAGGGGCCGAGGGACCTCTTGGAATTTTTGTTTGGAATTTGTGATGATGCAGCTGCAGCAGACAGAAAAACAGAACTTATAAGATAACGAGGAACATTTTTGATTTCGCGTTTAAACAGAATGGTTTGCTAATTTTCAAGACAGAGCGTGCCGCCATTGCAATTCAGCTGGTATTTTGGTGGGACTGGAAACATGTCAAAACCAGACAGTAGCAGATGTTTTTTCAATCGCTGGACAGTCATTGACTTGACTCAAGAAACACCATTACCTGAAACATGTTCAGAAACATTTTTTCAACAGAAGCTGGAAACATGTCAAAACCAGACAGTAGCAGATGTTTTTTCAATCAATGGGCAGTCATTGACTCAAGAAACGCCATTACCTCAAACATGTTCAAACACCATTTTTTAAACAGAAACTGGAAACATGTCAAAACCAGACAGTAGCAGATATTTTTTCAAGCCCTGGACAGTCATCGACTCAAGAAACACCATTACCTGAAACATTTTCAAACGCAATTTTTCCAAAAGAAACAGCACAGGATAAGCCAGCAATGTGTCGTAGTGCGCATGGTTCGGATTCGTTTCGGTGCTTGGCTGGTTTGTGAAAACAGGGATGATGGTAGGAAACGGAAGAGGGCGAAGATACCTAAGGTACACATGTCCAGTGAAACCAAGGGACATTTGAATTCTTGTTTGCTGCAAACTCCTTTGCAAACATGTCTGGCAGATGTTCACTCTGATTCAGTCTTTCCTGGCCGAGTCTTGGCATGGGCATTGGTTGAGCTTGATGCATCCTGTGCGGATACACTGCTCAGCCCAAAGAGCCTGGAACGCAAGATTCTCCTTGAACATTTTTGGTTTGAGCCATTGGTGCATTGCAAAATTTTGCAGGCAGTTCCTTTTCAAGACCACCAGAGGGTAGTACATACAGGCACCCGCTCCTGGCCTCAGACACAAATTTTTGAGATGCACCCGGAGCATGTTCATTGGCTGCTTGAGCAGGAAGTGCATGAAGAGGCAGGTGTTTCTCTGGAGGAAAAACTAGACATGCTGAACTTCAGGCAGTACGGCACTGCAACCACAAGTTTTCAGTTGTGGCAGCCTGTTGCGTTGCTGGCGTCTTTCGGACTCTGGACAGATGTTTCCATCCCAAGTTTTTACCAGTGGAGCCCTGACTGCAGTGTTGTGTCTTCTGAGGAGACGAAGCACGTTGTGGAACACGCCAGGTATTGGGCCAACACTCGCAGTCATGAGAAGATCAACAAGCCTGTCACTGAAGGCATCGAGGTTTTCGGGCCTGCTGATTTTAACCAGTTAGCCGCTTCCATAGTTGACTGGGCAGGCATGCTTTTGAATGGTGCCCCTTTCACAAAGGAAGTTGAGCAATGTCGTTTGGAGATAGCTGTCCAGTCTTGCAGGACCCAAGCTGCACTTCTTGAGAACATTGCGGCAGGCACTGTGCTGGAGCAACATCATGGGACTGGTCGTTCCAATTTGGTTTTTCTACTTCAGACGCTTTGGCTCGCTTTCGACCTGAAGAGTGATTCTGTTTTGAGGGAGGCTTTGCTTCATGCTGTAAAAGTTTTGTATCCCAACACTCGCCATGGGTTCATCGAGCAGATCATTTCTGATGATTCCATGCCTCTCCCATCCAGAAGTATTCTAACTCAAGCACGTTTTTTTTTGGATCTTGCATTCATGCAGCGTATGCGGCAACAGAATGCGGAAAGATACAGGATTGGGGAACAGTGTGGTGCATTGCATTTGCTGGTGGGCTCCTCTCCACAAGGTGGTTACAATTGGCTCATGGCACAGTTGGTCTGGATTGCGGAAGATGATTTGCTAAGGGTATTTGCTTTGTCGAAACAGCTTGTAGCACATGGCAAGCGCTTGCGTGGTCTGGCTGAGCAAGGCTTTGTCCTGGAAGAGGATGAAGTGGAACAGGAAATGAATTGCGCGAAGGCTTTGGCGAGCGCCATCCACAGACATCCATGCCCTCCTGTTGGTTTAGGCCGTGGAGATCTTTTGCATGAATTGCATGCCTTGTATCATGCGTTATTTCTGGAGACTGGTGATCCACAATTGTTGGCATGGATGGCTTCATGCATTTGCGCCATCACTTCTGACAGGGGCGTTGAGGCTGGGTACCCGCATGCTCCAGCTTTTGCTTTCCACAACTTGTTCCCTTACTTTGTGCAGCCATCCAAGATGCAACCTGATGGGATGAATTTTGATGATGACGCGTCATCCCCCGCAGACCTTGAAATGCAATGTGAGGCTCAACCTGCCCGCTTGTGTTTGCAGCAGTCTTTGCCCATACCAGGATGCTTGCATATTGTTCACAATGCTACGCGCCACATGCTCAGTGCGATGCCCCATTTTGAGGACAAGGTGAGGCCTGGATTTTCTGCTCTTGTGGATTTCCTCCACAAAAAATTTACAAGGCAAAGATTTGTTGCGACTTGTTTGGAGCCCTTGCCTGAAGCAAGGGTTTTCATCCAACTTTTCAACTCCTTCCCACACACAGTGGTCAAGTGGCGATTTGGGACCCTAGCTGCTGTTTGCAAAGATTTGGCTGAAGTCGAAGTTCCTTTGCGCCGCTTTTGGAATTCAGCCCGCTTGCAGTTTCAGCAGGCTGCACGGCAGAATCAAGAAGAGGCCCATGCCGGTGCCGCAGATGGCGCTTTTGGTGACAACCGGTTGGAAGGGCCAAACACTTTCAAAGCTGGAGAGGCTGTGCTTTCAAATACATTTTGGAGCTGGGTTCACATGATTTGCAGCTTGGCAAGTTGTATTGGCCACATGGAAGCGTGGTTTGAGTCCTGTCCATGCCACAGTGCCCCCCAAGGACGTGATAGGATGCGTTTGTTTGGCAAAATTAGCTGCCCACTGAAAAATTTTCGGGCACCAGAGCTTGCGTGCCAAGAATTTCGTCCTTTTTTAGATGAGTTAGCCATGCTGTCAGCTGCAGAGGTAGCTTTTAAGCACACGGTTTTTTGCAACGATGCAGACCGAGCCTGGATTCTGGAGGATTTTGAAGCAGGTAGACAACATCTGCAGTTCAACCTTACAATGCAGACTTCTTGCTGGACAATCAGACTTCTTACGCTCCAGCTTTCAGGAGACGTTTTTTTCTTCTTGGATGATGATGACCAGGAAGTCGTGAATGAGAAGTTCATGCTTGCTTTAAGGCGCTGTGTTCAGTTCTCTGCGGCTCAAAATCTCCCCTGGGAGATCCTATATCCTGGGGCAAAGCAGCAGATCATCGAGGAGCACAAGAGGCTTTTTGATGAGATGTGCCCTCGGCCTCCTGCATACATTTGCGACTTGGACCAAAACGTTGGGTTCATGAGTGCTGGCCCTGTATGGCCTTGTCTGGTGCGCCATGGAACGATCTACAGCTTGAACAAAGAGAGGCATGCAACTGCCCCAGAGCTCTTCGCCGCCCAAGGCTTTCCTGTCCATGAGAAGTGCCAGGCTCCGTATTCTTGTGGCTTCCAGAAGTTCTTTGAAAAAGGCTTGACGCAGACAGATTCCCACAAGCTGCTTGGCAATGCCATGTTCGTTCCCACCTTGGCTTCAATGATCCTTTATGCCTTGTGCAGTGCAGAACTTCATTCTGCTCAGCTGATCCGCCCAACATCACGGATGCTCAGCGGTGACTTTGAAGAGAGCCAAGAGTCAGCGCCTGCGTAGATTTGAGACATTTTCTGGTGAGCACAAGGCTCAAGACTCTCAAGACTCAGCCTTCGGTT